ATTCTATTTTTTGAATGAGAGTCATGATGTCTAATTTTCATTCAAAAAGTTAGATTACTTATCTCGCTTTTATTCAAATAAGACAAAAATATAATCATTAAAAATAGAAATACTGATAATTTTAGTTTCAATTTTAGATAATTTAGAGATTAATAATATAGTACTTATAATATTTGAAATAATACTACTTATTATAATATTAACTTTATCTTATAGATATCCATAATATTAAGAAACATTAATTAATTAAATTTAAATATAATCTTTTTCTCTTTATTTATGCATTATATTTTGTATACTAATTTTTGCAGAAGGATTTCATTAAGATTGTTCAGAATTAATTCTAATAATAATACCATTAGTATTTGAAATTACTAATTTAATTTTTATAAAATAAGAGAATAAAACCTAGACTCTAAGTTATGAAAATAAAAATTTTGATTATTTGATGATGACTATTTATAATTAATGTTAAGAAGCATTAGGAAGAAATGGAATATTATTAAATGAAATTAAATATAGATTACCTAGTAATTTAAATCTTTATGCATTTTCTACTAATCATCTAATTAATTGTCAAAAATTAAATGGTTGTTTTTGTACTTGTTATAAAAAACAAAATGATCATTTTATCACTCGATAATAATTCAAATAGTATATTAAAGAACTTATAAGATTTCATTATGAATTAAAATTATTAACTTTGAATAAAAATAATTCTTAAGATTATGCAAAAAGTTAATTTTATTATATCTTATATATATCATAAGTTATAAAGTAACCTACAAAGGCATTTCATGAGATAATAAAATTAAAGAATAATATGTATTCTAATTTGAATCTTTTAGATTAAATGTATACAAATTCAATTGAATTACTTGTCAAAAGTGATTTCTTAAAAATGATAGAAAATAAAAACATAACTAATTAAAAATATGATTGTTTTAAAGTATTTTATTACAATAAATGTATAAATTAATGGAAGCAATAATTTAGTTAAGTATTATAAAAGTAAAAATAATGGTATGTGACATTATTAAATAGGAATCTTACATAACTTATAATTGATGGTAAACACTTGTAAAATTTAATTTCAATATAAGAAAAACAACTTAAATATATATTTAATACAAATCCACTTTCTTAATAATGTCATATTTTAATTCATTTATTTTACAAATACATAAATTTTAATAAAAAAAGAATAGAAATACCTACAATAGATTCCTCTATAGCCTTTAAATTTTAAAATTCTATAAATGGAATTCTATTTCATAAAGAGGCTTCTCTTGTCTATTTAACATTATTAGATACTAAAGGTATCATTAAAAATTACACTAAAACATTTAGAGATGCTTTATGTACTATAGATAGTGAAATAATGAATAATTCAATTAATAATTTTATTCCAGACATTATTGCAGAAGTACATGATTAATATTTAGATAATTTTGTAGAGAGGGGAAGAATCAATATTATGAAATCAGATAGAAGATTTCTATTAGTAAAAAATAAATTAGGATTTATATTTCCTATAATAGCTAAAGTTAGATTAGAGACAGATTTAGGATCTGATTTTGGTTCTTCTGCTCTAATTTTACCTACATATCAAAATTATCATTATATTATGTTAAATAAATATGGTTTAGTGGAAGAGATTAGTGATAAATTATACAATGAAATTATATTACCTATTTTATGTATTGATTTAAAAAGTATTAAATCTTTGGATTGTTTAAAACTTATACCAAAATTAATAAAAAGTTGGAAATAATTAAATTAAACTGATGTTTTAGAATAAGAACTTAAAAATCCAATATAATCATATATGATTATTCCAAAAAAAAGAAAGAAATAATAAATACTTTTATCATCTTAAGTAAAAGAGAAATCAACAATTTATGAATACTTAAAATAATAGGATTAAATTAATCATAATTATTTTGATAATTTTAAATATATGTATATGTTTAGAATTACATTTAAAATTGTTGAATTTCACACATTTAAAGAAACGTAATTATAATATATATTATATTTTAGAATTTATTGTATTGAAATTTAAACTATTAAATCTGTTCGTGAATCATAAAGAATTGAAATTTTTGAGAAATTAATAGAAAAATCAGATTATCTAAATATGAGTAGAAAAATAATTAAATTAAGTCCAGATAAAATAGATATCAAAAAGAAAAAATGTAAGAAATTGGAAATAACTAATTAAAAAGGATCATTAGGTTTTATATCTTTTTAACCTGAATAATAAACTATTTATAATTTGGAAACATAAAAATTAATTGAAGATGATTATATGATAAAATCAAAAGAAATGTAAATTCGTTTAACTAATCCTCTTTATATTTTAGAAGTAAATCTTAAATTAATATAAGATAGAAGAATGCTAAAATTAAATAAGTCATCCAAATAGTTAAGATAAAAGACTATAAGATTAATAGACATTTAGGATGAAATCTTCAGTAGCACATAGTTTTGGTGCATTGAATCATTTTTGTAGTAGTAATTCTAATGGGATTAGTTAAGCTTTTGGGTCTGATTAAAATAAACTAATAGTGCATTCTAGTGCAATATTAGATGCATTAAATGAAAATAAAGAATCAGTTAAATCCAAGAATTCTGATGAACTAATAGGATCAATTGATAATTTTTTATTTGATTAAGATTAAATGAAATCTATATCTTCATCATAAATTAGTGATATAAAAGTCAAGAAAACTTAATTGAAACATAATTTATTTGATGAATAAACAAAATAGCATTGGACAATACGTCTATTTAATTTGATAACATTTGCTTTACTTATGATCTTTAATATTTACTATTATTATGTTTTGAAATAAGAAAATTAAGTAAATATTTATATATATTTTATAGATTATTGAATAAGCTTTAGAAACATATAAAATATCAAACAATTTTTAAGTTTAGATTAATAATTTTATTCTGGCTTTCAATTATTCTAATAATAATATATTTAATTATACTCTATACATGAAATTTTGTGCTAATAGATTTTAGAATGATATATCTAAATTCTAATATTATTCATTAAATATTGAATAGAATGAAAGTAATTAATATTTATAATAACTTAGTTCCATATCTTTAGATAAATGAATTTGAAAATATAACAAATTTAAATTTATTTTATTCATTAGGATATTTCTCATAATATTTACTTACTTAATCAAATTGTTCAAATTAAGAATACTTTTTAGAATTTATAGCCAGAAATTTCATAACAATAATTTCCTCTAATTCTGTATTAAATTAAACAGTTATTAAGAATGGTTTAGATTAATTTATTAAAGCATAATAATCAACTAAAGTATCCTTTTATTTTACAATGATATCCCTTTGTTTCGCTTTTATATTTTACTTACTACTCTTAATTATTATAAATAAAGCAAAATTAAAAATTGTAGAATTATTTAATACTATTTCAAAGGGTTAAATAAATCTTTTAATAGAATAAATTTCAATAATTGGAAATTTTCTTGAGAAAATTGACTTTATAAATGAAGAAACTACTGAACAATAATTTGATCAAATAAAATCAAAATTTGCTTCTACTCCAGGAATTAGAATTAAGACTTCTCAAAAAAGATCATCGATCAAAGTTAAATACAATAAATCCTAAGAAAATAGTAAAAGTATTTTTTTATTTTAGATTCTTAGCTGCTTTTACTTATTTCATTTATTCATTATTATTATTGTTTAGTTACTTTATTATTTCTTCATAATATGTTGGTTCTATAATATATTAAAGTTCATTTGAATAGTAGACAATATATTCTTTTGAATAATTACTTCTCTTTAAATCTTCATAATCATATTTATTATAACAAAAGAGTTTTTAGAAACTTTTAATAAAATATTTACAAATAAATAAAGAAGACATGCTTTTTCTAAATAAATGTAATATTAAAAGTGTTATAAAATTAGTGGAAGAGGCATTATAATATATGGAAGAACAATTTGACATTCTGTAGGGATTTATTTAAAGATTGAACGATTAGAAATCTTTTTCTAATGCAATTATTACAAATACTATAAAGAAAAATAGTTGTTAAGCCTTTTAGTTCACAATTGCAAATAATATTGAAGATAGTTAATTCTTTAATGAAATGATTTGTAACAATATTGATAGTTTAACATCAGGATTAACCATTTCATTAGTAGAAATATTATAAAACTTTTAATAATTTTATACAATTAACAAATTAAATGATATGGAATCTAAATCCTATTTGTTTAATATGGATATTAATTTAGAAAATGATATCATAAATGTTCTTTATACATCTCATGTATTAACATTACTACATGATTTTATGGCTTATGAATAATAATAAGAAATATCTTTGAATCATTTTGTACATACTCTCAGATTCATATTTGGGATCATACTTTATCTTATTTTAATTATTATAAGTGATAAAAATATAAGAATGTACTTACACAAAGAATTAATTAAAACTAAACAATTATTTTTATTAATACCATTGGAAATATTGTGTGAGAATGCAAATGTCTTGTAGTAATTGATAATAAGAAATCAAAAATGAAAATAACAAATATCATTATTATATTATATAATTATTATATTTACAAGTTACTTTTTAATATCATTTTAAGTATCTATATCAATTAAAGAATTAATCAATACAAAAACTTAACAATCACTTTTGTATAAAGGTTTACAATAATAAAATGTAATTTTAAATGAACTACATTTGAAATTTAAGTATTAAATAATGAAATAACTAACTTGATTATAATAAAAACAATAAATCTTTAAGAAAAATAACAAAATTAACTGATAGAAATTTAAGAATTATAATTATTGATTAAATTACAATAATCAAGATATTCAAGATTAATAATAAATTAATATATGTCAAATAATTTAAAGTCAGTATTAATATACAGGAGATATTAATAAATGAATCTAAAATTTATAAGTAACTAAATTATATATATCAATTGATTTTAGCTCTACAAACAGGACATGAATTATTTATCTTTAACCATTATGTTAAACAATCCTTATGAAAATTATGAGAACAACTCATCTCTAATTCCACTTCATCATTCTTGAAGTCTTCCTAACATATATAACAGGTTTATTATTAATCATTCATGTTTACTACATGTTCCCTTAAACTATTTATTTATGATTCTGATGCCCCTTATTAATGATCTTCTTATAAAATTAAATTCTCAGTTAAAAGAGCAAGAAAATTTAGAAAATCAGATATTTCACTTAGGTTCTATGTCCAATCTGTTAATGTTCTTAATTATTAAGCTTCAGGAGTTATATATATTTCAAAAGATCTTAATTCTGAATCGTTAATTCCTTAAGCCATTTATTCTAATGGACTATCACATAAGATGCAATACTCCTATTAATTTTCTTCTTAATGATAAGTTCTTTAAATTATTTCCATTTTACAAAGATGACACCAATAATTTTCAAAATTATTTCTTTCTTCAAACACATTTCTTAAAATTTAAAACATTTTCGTTAAATTATAAATTTTAAATAATTTAAAGAATTAGAAACATAAAAAGAAAATAACTTAAATAGAATAATATAAATCTCATAGTCATTAAAATTATAGTGATAATATGTTAAAATATAAATATTATATGTTATTTATATTTATTATATTATTAAGATCTCATTCCTCTGGTTCGAAAGCTCCTAATGAATCCTCGAAATTAATAGACTCTTTTAATTAATTTGAGAATGTGGAATAATTATTGTTAATGGATGCAGCACAATTTTCTTTTGTATTTTATTAAAATGTATTTATTACAAATGCATTGAATATCATTCTCATTCAATTTTACTCCCAGATCTGGTTTGAATAATCTACATTTACTAGCACATAATTTGGCTAATGACAATGTTAATCCCACTGTTATATTCTATATATATGTGTTATATCATTGAAATACAAAACTATAAAATGGTGCATTTGGAAATTCAAGGCTTTCTGAATCGTCGCTCATCAAACTTAATTTAATTATAATTATTCATTTTATATATTTTATAAATATATTAAAGAGAGTAATAATTATATTAATAGATTATCATTAACTCAAAATTTGATACAAAAACAAAACTTTATTTATTTTAATCCCTTTCAATTAAACCTTAAATAAATTCAAAATTATTCATTATCATAATTGAAACTTAAAAGGAGATGAAATTATGTGTTATTATTTTTATTATATTATATGTTAAAGATTCCTTAAATAATTATATAATATGAAAAATGTGTTAATTTATAGATAATATGAATTATTTATACAATCAAAAGTAAGAGTATATAATTAAATAACATATCTAAACAATAATAAACTACGAGTCTAAATATATTCAAATTATACTTAAATTAAGAATGTGTTATCAATTTAGATTTAACTGTAAAAATAAAAATTGTTATATATAACTATTTTTGGATATACTTTTGATAATAATAATTTTATCATCAAATATGATGAATTTTAAAGCTTAATTCATTTTTGAATAAAATTAAATGGTTAAATTCTAAATTTAATAAGTTGTATTTTGTAAATTCATTGATATTATATAGATATTCAAATTAAAAGTTCAGTATATAACAACAATAATTCTTATTAAGTTATTAAATGAATTTATTCTAATTTATAATTCACATTTTAATTATAAAAATAATTTTAAAACTTCATGCTATTAGTTTAATTATATAAATAAAAAATGAAAACATGTTTTATGTGTTAAATTAAGTAATTAATATGAATTGTAAATGAGTTTAGAATGAGATTTTAAAATAAATTGGAATATGCAAATAAAATTTCAGTTGTTTGCTTCTTATGATTGAGGTGGATTTAAACCTACTCCTAATACTTTTTCCATTTCATTTATTCGATGATCCAATAGATTAGCTGATTTCTTGATTCTTGCTTTTTCATTTTTTAATGTGTCCACTTAATTGTTTAATTCGTTTATTTCAGTATTTGCTTGTTCAGCCAATTTTCTAAAATTTCGAGTGAAATCTGCTATCTCTTCAATAAAGCTAGTTGATGTATCATCATTTATAGATGACTAAAGGTATGATTCATGTATGATTTCTTATCTTAGCATCTATAATTCTTTCTTGTCTTTTTCTAATTCATGTAATAGATATTCTAACATAATCTAGTTTTAATTACTAATACATTTAATTTATCTTCATGTTCAGTCATTGGTAGATTCATAGAGTTTTTTTAAAACAGTTATAAAGCTTCTTTATAGGATTGCATTGAGTTTTTTTAATTAAATATATAGTATATTTTAAATATATGAATTAGGTATATATATATATAATAGCACACACATTAAAAATACATCATGAATTTTGATCATTTGACATTTCTCTAATATAAATTACTAATGATAATAAATTTGATAGAGTGCTCCTATCAGCAGATTCAATTGCCATTATATAGTTTTAATTCTAATTTTATTGTTAAAAGAACAAATAATTTAATAGACCTGTTTATCGTGTTTATTAATGTTCAAGTTATCTTATATAATTTTACATTGTATTTTAATTAATGCTTGGTTGATATAATAGAATGTCTTATAAAATATTATTAAATATATACCTTTTCTATTAGTAAATAGTCCTTTAGGAGATAATCTTGGTGATTGAATAGATATACATTCATCATATACTTTATTCCATCCTTCATAATGTACTAAGATTTAATTTTCTTTCTTTTTTTATATTATGTTCAAGATTTTACCAACACACCATATATGTTCAGTATCCAAAATATCTACTTAATCACCTATATTAAAAGTCTAGATTTTCTTTTTAGCTTTCCATACTTTTAAGTCTTTTTTTCGAGAAAGGTATTAATCATTATTTTTTTAAGAAGATATAACTACTTAAGATTATATGAAACCATCAATTGTTTTACAATAAATAAATTAAAGCCCTTTTATAGTTGTAAAACAACTAGGACATTTCTGGGATATAAATATATATATATATATACATGACTCTTTAGTAGATGTTCAAAAATACACAAATAACAAAAGGAATGTCCACAAAATGTTAATGTAAATTTTTAGAAATAATCTGAACATATTATACATCTTAGGTTTTCCTCTTTAAATTTTCTATCTAATTCAAAAACTTAAATCTATTCAAATTATAATACTGCTTAATCTCTTTTTATTATAATCATATTTAATTGACGGTTTTCTTAATTTAGATATGAACTTAGTTTTTAGTTATTATTAATCTGTAAACATGACTTATTTTAGTTCTTTTTCATATTCTTTATTTTAAGACATTTTGATAAGTGAATTTACAAATTATAAAATATTTATATTTGTATAATTAGATATTAAATTCAATATATATATTTCATAAACACATCATTTAATTCATTCTAATTATAGAAGAGTTTAAATTTGGAAATTAAATATTTGAAATGATGTATCATCATAAAACTAATGAAGGAAATGATCAGAAGTTTAAACAATTTTGTTTTATTTAGGTTGATTTAATTGAATTATTGACAATTATTAAATTTAATTATCATCTTATCCTTTTTAGTTGGATCAAATGAGAATTGCACAACATAGCAAGTCATGTTAAATTCTTCTACAAAAAAAAATCTTCACTTTTGATGATTAAGAATTAATTAATACAGCAGAATCGACTCCTGATTCTTCAGGAAATTCAGAAAAACCGTAATTAGTGGTTTTTAGAAGTTAAATACTTCCAGACTCTTAAATTGCAAGAGAGCTTCATGAGGCATCTATCTAATCATATTGGTATGGAGAAACACCCAAAGAGTATTTAGATAAACGTATTGTTAAGCTCAAGAAACAAAAATGTAAATATTGCTTATATGTGTTTTTTAGTTGAAAAAGTTGTTGTATTGGATCTGGATGAGACATTAATTTATCATAAAAATAATAAGACTTAAGTTCGTCCCTTTTGTTAAGAATTTTTAGAAAGATTATCAAGAATATGTACTTTAGTACTTTTTACTGCAGCTAAATAAGACCATGCAATAAATGTAATTTAATTGATTAATTTAAAGATGTTAAAAATTATAGATCCAAATAAAAAATATTTCAAAGCTATTTGCACATCAGAACACATGATAGGCAATGTTAAAGATTTGAGAATTTTTTAAACTGATCTCAAAGATATTGTTATTGTTGAAAATTCTCCAAAAAAATTTATGTATTATCATATCTAATAAGTGCTTAAATCAATAATGGCATACCAATCTTACCTTATGAAGGCCAACAAAATGATAATTAGCTTGAATTATTACTTTCTTTTTTAGAAATAGTACTTTTGGTTGATGATGTGCGTATTCAATTAGCAAATATCTTTAAATTATAAAATTTTTATAAGGAATTAAATGGAAAATAGGCCATTAATAAGTTATACAATTCTAAAAAGATTTTATGACTTAATATTTGTAATCATTGATATTTATACTATAAAAAATATGTCAGATTATTATTTTTATAAACAAGAAGAGAAACTAAAATCCAATAGAAAACCGAAGAATTATCTATCAGATTCTGAAGACACTAATGCTCATCCTTAATTGAAAAATGCATAACGGTTTTTGTAATTATGAATATAAAGAGACTCAGTCGTAAACCAAAGATTATATAAGAACTAATTAAGCTACAACAACCATAGATTTAATATGTTTCTGCTGTATCTAATCATGATAATTCTAGTATATTCCTGAACCTATTCCAATACCAGAAGCAATTAAATAAATTGATAAGAAAATATAAGCATATAAAAGAGTAATGGAATTGTAATAAAAAAAATAAAAAGAATTATAGGAATAATAAAGATATACAGAAGAAGGATCTGTATAAAAACATTTTGTTGATTTTTTTACTAATCCTAATATATAATTAAAAAATTATTAAGAAGATGATAATGAATAAAATTAAATATCAGTTTAAAAAAGTTGTGATGAGATTCAAATAAATTAATTATTAGAAAATAAAAAGCTACCAAGATAATAATATTATTCTGAAGCTGTAAAAAATAGAGATCATTTATATGATAATATGATTGAACGTCTTTATGCAAAAAGATAAAATCCAGCTATGTTTGCAGTAATAAATGCCAACTATTCAACATTAGAAATTAAAGAAGAAACCTCCTGTTTTAAATATTACATCAAAGAATAAAATTTAATCAGGAAGTGGAAGGATGGATATAGAAGAACATAAATTGAGAATTTATAATAGAGAAAATGTTCCTACTATGCCTGAATTAATAATTCCAACTTTTATGATAAAGAAAGATTCAATTGCAAAAAATATTCTAGCATATCTAGTATATTTGTTTACATTTAACTTTTAGAAAGATTATTCACCTATTTATAGAAAATAGATACATAATGAATATCCAAAATGTGTATAAAGCATATTAGAAGAGAATGAGGATATTATTAAGAATAATAAAAAATGAAAATACAAAAATTGAATATAACATGTTACAAACATTCATTAATTTAGATATAAACTACAATATAAGTTAAATAAGCTATCATCAATCCTATAATTAACTATTAATTTATGGATTTATAGTATGAGAACTACATTTCCTTTTTGAATTTTTATCTGGAATTGAATCAGAATCCCCTTCAATTTCCACATTTTATTATTTTATTTGACTTTATTAATCATTTTATTTAACTTCTATATTTTATTATTTATTTTCATCATCCTCTTCATCTATCCTTGGATTTACTTAAGTTTTTCTCAATTTTTTTGAACCACAACTAATTATATTAGATAAAAAAGAAATCTTACCAAAATCTTGGAGGTGTTTCAATTTAAACTTGTTATTATTAAAAATTTCGTTATCGATTTTACATTATCCATGCATAAGTTGTTATTCCTTTAAATTTTAACCAAAAATGAAAAATCATTAAATTGAAATTAAGTAAAAACAGAATACTAACTAAACCCACATTAATCCAAATCCATATCATCATTTAAGGAGATTCAAAAAAGAAGGAAAAAATAGCAAAAATAATAAAGGTAATTCCAAATAGAGATACAAAAACTAATAATTTAAAGAATTCTTAATAATTCTTTTTTCCTATGCAATTGTTTAACCATTTACAATGATGATCAAAGTCTGATACACATCTAAATATTTTAATGTATATTTACCTTTCGCAAACTTTGCAATGTTTAGTTGTACCACTTACATAACTATCACAAAATTAACAAAAATAATCATAAAGCTCTTAATCTTATACACTATATATATATTGTTTAAGTTTATATACATATTTAATCCATTTCTTTATGAGATTATTAGATCATCAGTTGGATCTATGTAGGAAGTCTTAAAAGCATAAATAAAGATGATTAAGGCCAAAAAGTAAAATATAGATGCTAAAATAATCTACTTAACTTTCTTTTTTACCTAAACTAATAAATTAGTTATTGGGACTATTGCAATTGATACACAACATAATAATTGTATAAAGAATATCATTATAAACACTTAGAAAGGATGTTTTGGTCTAGTAAAACCATTAATAGTTTTATGTTCTCTAGTACTAGTAATCATTTAATTTTATTAATCATGATTGTTTGTAAGGTAAAATTCTTGATAATTGATTGTAATATATGATAAAATATATCAATTTCATCTTCCAGACCAAGAAGCAACTTATTTTTTGAACATAATGATTACTTCATCAAGAATGGCATTCTCTTCTTATCTTTTAGCTTTGGCTTCAGCATAATCAGCTCTTTTGGCTTCTAAATCAGCTTAAGCTTAGTCTAAAGCATCTTGAGATTCTTATAAGATAATCTTTGATTTAGCTTATTAAGCAAAAGCAGCTTAGATTTACTAATTTTGGATTAAAATTTTACAGTAGCAGTTCTGTCAGCAAAGACTTATTTTCTTTCATATTCAACTTCTAAAGAAGAAATTTCAGCTTCAGATAATGAAACCCATCCAGCTAATTCCCATGATGCATTGATTTCATTTACTTTCAAGTTTTCTAATGAAGCATCTAATTCAGATTCTAATCCTTCTAGAACACTCAATACTTTTTCAGCTAAAGTTGATCCTTAAGTATTTGATGCTCCTTCCTAAAAAGATGATTAATTATAATATATACTTCTTGTCCATTAGCTAAAGCTAAAAAGGATTTAATTTAATGGTCTTAGAAAAGATTACTATATTATTTCAATTTTTCAGCAACAGATTAGGCTTTAACTTAAGTAAATTCAAATGAGTCTCCATTAATAATATAACCAGCAACATCTTATTTTAAAAGTCTGATGACTTCAAGAGCTTCTTAATTGTGTTTAATGGATTTGACAAAAAGTTAATTGCTAAAACATTAATTATCTGAGAGAGCTTCAATTTTTCTTGCAATTTCATCTCTTCTAGCTTCATTCCAAGCTAAATAATTCTTTGTTTATTTAAGAACTTCTTCATAATTGGCTCTATTCTCTATGGCTTAATTAAAAAGTTTTTAGTTCAGACTTTTAATTTTTGTGAATTGTTCAATAGTTCTAAGTGGATTATTATAATTATTTACTATGCACCAACCCATTCATCTGTTTCATTCTTTTAATCTGCAGCAAATTGAGCATCAATATTTGATTGCTTTAAATCATTGAGTAAACCAAAAACTGTATCAATAGCATCACTTGCTTTTGTTCCAGTCTATAATATATAGCAATATATTTACTTATAATAAAGCAAGGATTTGATCCTATGTTTTTGATGCATAGGTTGTTGCTGCAAGTGCGAATAAAACAACAATAATGAATTTCATATAATTATTAATGAAAAACGTACTCTCATTAAAAACGATAAAAATAAATAAAAATGTATCCCCTTTATCATCTCTTTAAATACAATTTTAAATAATAATAATTTATTAATCATATACCTAACAATCATTGATATTGGTTATCCCTAAATGAACTGGCATCTACTTAAGATTTACTCTATAATTTTTATATTAATTTTAAATACATGACTAAGTTAAGATTTCCAATTTATTGGTGGAACTCCTTGATTCATTTTTGAAAAAAGAATTCTCAATAACTTTTCCTTCTCTTCTAAATCTAAATCATTAATATCAACTTTATTTTATTCTAGACTTTGAGATTTTTATGATATATCAGGTAAGCGACTATTTTTTTGATTTTTGTTCTTTTTTTTGATTTCATTTTTGACTTGATCTATTGCTTATAGGAAAAATTATTCAATATCTGATCGTTGATCTAAAATCATTTAGGCTAAAGCCTTTACTGTCTTCAATTCTTTAGTTCTTTAATCAAGAAGATGTCTTAAGTTTCTCAATTGCATTTCTAATTCCTACACTTTTGTATTACTTTAATGTTTCATAATTTCAATTTCCTTTGTTTATTTAGTAACTTCCTAATTATAATACATTAAAAATTATTACATTAGCAATGTAAGATTTTAAATACTCAATTCTTTCTTTTAATTATTTTATTTTTATTGTTTATTAATGATTCATCATTTAATACCTAAAGATATATATATAATAATAATATACTCTTAAGCTTATTCTTCTTTTATACTTAGATTTAATTTATAATTAACATTTTCTTATTAGAAAGTTTCTTTATCTTTTTAATATATTTGTAATGTTCTTTAATATTCTAATAATTCACTCTTTATTTTTTCATTTTCTTTTAATATCCCATCATATTTAGCAGCTACTTTTTCTTCTGCTAATTTATTTGCATTTCTTTAAACATCTTCAATCTTAGCATTATTTACATTTGTCAAATTTTATGTTTATTTAAGAAAATTTTTATTTGCTTTGCTTTATTCATCTAAATGAGCATAATCTTTTTTAATCATTTCCTCTTTTAAATCATGTATTTCTTTTATCAAATTTTCTTTTTCTTCCTTAATATTGTGTCAAATTTACTTTAAATTAACTCCATTTCTTTAATTCTTCATTTATTTTTTATAATTCATCTTTATGTCTAATTTCTAACTCTGTTTTTTCTTTTTCCAAATCTACTCAATCCAATAACAAAATTACATCTAATTTTTTCATCCTTTCTCTATATCATACTCTCTATTTCTTCTGTTGTTTATTTTTTTAAGTCCTCATATTACTATAACAACGCATTATATTCACTCTCTTTTTTTATTATATCAGATTCCATTTTTAAGGTCAAAGCCAACTAAACATAATTCTATAAACTTTATACATTTTATTCATTAGACTTTCTAATATTTTCATTTAAATCGTAAATCTTTTTCTATAACTCCTCTATTCTATCTTACAAAACTTAAATTTCTATCAATAGATGAGAATGATCTCTAGTTAATTTTTAATCAAAACATTTACAATTTCTCAAGTGCCTTCTTTTCAGCCTCTGTAAATTCTACCACTTCAATTTATTATTTTTTCTTTGCCATTTTTATAATTAATAAAAATTAGTAAAAATATATATCTATATTAAAAAAATATATATGTAATTTATTTCCAAAACTTATTAAATCCAATACTAATATCTTGTTATTTAATAAAAAATCTCAATATTAATAACAAATTTTTATTTTTTGTTTATACAAATATCAATATTTTGGGTAGACAATAATAATATATCATTCAATGTAAAACTTCTTATTAAAACATTTAACTCAATTCAGCAAATATTTTAGGTTTCAAACACATTAAAGCAACTATTTGCATTGCATTATAATCTTTATAAATTTCCCATTCCAATTGTAAATTATCAAAGGATGGATTTTTTTTATTTTATTTATCTTCTGCCATCTATTTGAGTGTATCATGAACTAGATTTCTAATTTATCTTCCTGCCATAACACTCTTTAAATTTTTATGATTATATCTATTATTTGCAGCATTATCTTATAATGAAAATTATGCCTTTTATATGAAGAAAAGTAAAGAATGTTATAAACCAGAATTCTTGACTACTTTTTAGGATTTAGAAAAATATCTAATTAATAATAAATATTAGATTATACCTTTTATATGCTTCCATGCATTCATTAAATAATTCCATCTTTAAATATTTGTTATTCCTATATGAAGTTAATTAATATCTCATTTATTTATTCTCATATTTGATTTAATCAATTTAGGGATCAGTTAATTATTCTTACTTTTAACTAGACTGACTTAATGGTTTTTAAGGATAAAATGTAGTTTATTATTAAGTTCTTTATGTATCAGATGTTTTCTTTTATTTTTTTAATTGATGTCTGGCTGCATTGATTTCTCTTAAAAGAACAAGATTTTTTGAATTTTATTTATTAAGTGCAGCATGTTTATATTCAATGACTCTTTTGAGATTCTTACATCTTGTAGTATGTTCAGATATTTGATTTTATAACTTATTAATATTCTCTGTTAATGCTTCACTATATGTTTTATAATTGTTAACATCTTCAAGTACTTTTCTGATTTCAACACTTTTTTCAATTTTATCTTGCAATTCCAACAAAGATAAATTATATTTAACTAAGTTGTTCTTGGCCCTTTCAAGTGCTTATAAAATAGATCGATATCTGAAATAATATAATAGAAAAAACACCTTTTGCCAAGAAATTAATCTTATTTCTCTCTTGTTTCATCAATTGTGGGTTGGAAATGATCTAAATATTCATCTATTTTTTATTTATCCTCTTGTCTAGAATCTATTAATTTTCTACATATATTCTTTTCACTACTTGACAATTTCCCGATAATTTGGTGAAGGTTTCAGAGGCTCAGGCACATAATATATTTTTTATAATGACATATAATAATTTTAATATTTAGATTATATTTTGATTCATAATAATAAATATATTATTTACTAAGAAATTATATATATATATTATTTTAATGTGAGTGATATTTAAATTAAAATTTCATATACTAAATGTCATTCATTCACCTCCTAAATATCTGTAATTAACTTTATTTTTATTATTAGGTCTTGTTCTAAGTCTACTATTTACTTAAATTTCAGAATTCTAAAATAATAAATATTTCTTAATTTACTTTCTCTTCTTATTATTATTATTATTATTATTATTATTATTATTACTATTATGGAATAGTATTAATTTTAATAATAGGAGAATCAAGTAAATTTTATTTCTTAACTATTTTTTTTCCTGCATTTCTAAGACTATCTAAATCTTATTTAATTTCATCCTCATAAAGATTCAATCTAAATGCTTATAATTATTTATTAATAAATAAAAATTACTAAACTAAATTTTGTTATCTTTAGTAGCAACAAAGTTAATATTTTTCTCTTTCATTCTATTATCATCACATTCAATATTTTATCTTAATTTCGGTTGGTATTCTTCAATAGATTTCTCTTATTTCTTTGTTTATTAAGTATTCTATTATTATTATTATTGTTTCTTAATAGTTTTAGAACAATTCAAACAATGATAAACTTAATTTTCAGTTTCTTATTTGATGTTTTGATTCCTAAATTTAGCTTCACAATTTAAATGATTCTTTCAAATAATTTAAAGGTTTACCCATTTTTAGCAAACATCACATTATATCCACTCCTATTCATCTTAATCATTAGCACCATTTGAATATATCTAAAATAATTCTATAATAATTAATAATACCTATTCACAAAAATCACAATAATTTCCACGAGTGTATAATCTCAAGCATTTCTCACAAAATTAAAGAGCTTCACCTTTTTTTGATTTAGTTTTTCGATCACCTTTATTATTGCATTTTTAATTATGACATTTCTAAACTTACTATGGTTCATCATCCTCAACAGTAATGGGATTATTAAAATTATTAGTTTTCTTTTAATTCCCTGGACTAGTTTGGCAGAACAATTAATTAGACATGAAAGGATTCAAGGAAGTTGGATTAGTCATCTAAAGGCTTTTCTGTAAAAGTTTTGTATAATCAAATGCATTTAATGCTCCTCCAAAACCTACATTAAAATATAGCAAATAATAAACTATAAGGTCATTAATTGATAATTGAAAGTGAACTTGATGATATCTTACCAAAATTGTTATTAAATAGATCTTATGGTTAAGGTGTTCTATTGGCATTGTCTGGAAATTGTTGGATTAAGCCTGGTAACATAAAAGGTTTCATATTAAGGATGGCACTCAAAAGTTGCTATTATCTAAAATAAGTAATGAATTGCCAAATATATGAATAGAGTTAGTCAGGTAATACGATAAAGTAAAAATGGGTTTAGAATCATACCTAAGCTGTTGTTAATATTCCTCTAGTTAAGCAGGAGTTAGATGTTGAAACAAAGAATTTTAGTTGTTCAATCCAGAGTTCATATTATTTTAATGATAGTTTAAATTAAAATGGTCATTCCCTATTTAATCATTATATAAACAAAAGAACCCAGTTATTTAATTGTGTATTAATGAATATGAATACTTTGAGAGACAAATAATTTATTTATTTTCTTTTTAAAAATACAATTATGATAAAATTTTAATTTCTCCATGCTTTCATTTTTCATTTTCAACAAAATTTAAATAAAAATACTATTTGATAATTTATTATAGAAGAATATTGATTTCTCCTTTTTAAATTTAAGATTATACAATATAAAAATCCAAAACCATCTACTCAGTAATTTAATAATAAGAAGCTTAATTTAGAATAAATATTTTAAATTGCATTTTTGTAATTAATAATATTAAAGTTATTATTAAATCCTTAAACCTAACATTACTCTTATTTTCATTAATTTAAATGATCTCAAGCCTAGAAAATCATTATTTTGCCATACTACATCTTAACAGCTCCTATAGAGTCGACAAATAATTTAGAAAATATGTTTAAGAAATCTAAAAAAATTATAAGAAATCACAATGTTATTCTTTTTTCTAGTTATATTTAGTTGACTTAAATAATATATTTCACTTAATCAATTGCAGCCATTAGAGCTTGTCACATACTCTTTTTCAGAAAATAAGTTTTCTTGATTTCTTTACCTTCTGATCATTATAGTACTATTCACTATGATTATAATTTGAGATTTTTACATATGTGTTTTTAAAGAACAACTCTTTGAATAAATAAATTAATATGGTTTCCTTATTTAATCTTTTATTCAATTAATTTTTAGTTCTATAGTTGAATTGAAATAACATTGTTAGTTGATATGACATCAGGTTGATCATTTGTAAGGCTTTCAGTGTTTCTGTTCCTTGCTGGAGATGATAATTTTTGTTAAGTGCACCCCATTATATATAATAAGATTTATAATCAAATTTAAGAATTAAATTCCTGTATATATATTTTATAATTTTTCATAATTGAAGAATTATCTTCAAATTATTTCGCCAAAGTACACATTTTCACTTGAATGTTTATTTACAATATATATTATAATAATAATATAAAATCAAAATGTCTTTAGGATATTATGATTGGCTTGTAAAAGTGATAGTATTAGGGGATTCAGGTGTTGGAAAAACTAATATCTTAACACAATTTTGTGATTCAAAATTCTCTTAAAATTACACTGCAACAATAGGAGTTGATTTTAAAATTAAGATTCTAAATGTACTTTCATAATTGAATTCAAGGTATAAGATAAGAAAATTAAACTGTAAATATGGGACACAGCTGGATAAGAACGTTTCAGAAACATTACTTAAACTTATTATAAAGGAGCTTATGGAATAATTTTTGTTTATTCTTTGATTGACAGAAACTCTTTTAATAATGTAGAAGGATGGATAAAATCAATTCTCGAAAGCACTACTGATGAAGTGTATATATTATTTAATTAATAATTTCTAGTTGTTCGATTTTGGTAGGTAATAAATTAGATTCTTAGGATAGAAGAGTCTAAACTGCAGAAGGAGAGAAATTGGCTCAAAAGTATAATATGCCATTTATTGAAACAAGTGCTTTAGAGAATAAGAATATACGTACAAACATGAATTGTATATATTAGAAGATATTTTCGATAGATTGGGATAAAATCTGAAGATTAGATTGGAAAATGAAGGATAAAAGGTTTCTAATAATATCCATACATAATCTGGTTAATTTAAATTAAATTAGGAAGTTAATTAAACTGAATAGCCAACATCTAGTTGCAATAGTTGTTGAAAAAGCGTTGTGATAAATTTATTAAATATATGTTTTAAATTGAGATCATAGTAGTATTCTAAATATATATATATATTCTTTTTATTTCTATGTATTTAAAATGTAATTATATTGTTTTTATTCAAATAAATCATTTTTTACTATTCTTTAAATCATAGTTTAACTAATCAATACATTTCTTCATTCTTATATTATCCAACATCAGTTCTTCATAAGAAGGTCTCCCACCATTTCCACTAACACCTCCCCATTAATTTGATTAATTCATAGGATTCATACCAATTTTATTTTAAGAAATTTAATTTGGTGTTCCCAAATATGCACTATTAACTTATTGGCCTGGTTATCCATATTAACTCACAGGACCATAAACTGATTGACCATTTGGTCCATAAATGGGTTAACCATTAGGTCCATAAATAGGTTATCCATTTGGTCCATAAGCAGGCTAACCATTCTAAGGTCCATATAATGGTTATCCATTTGGACCATAGAGAGGCTATCCATTTGGAGCATAAAGAGGTTATTGATTAGGATTGAATGCTTAATTTTAACCTGATGGACCAAATTATCCATTGGGATTTGGTTGTTTCTAATTAGGTTGTTATTCAGATGGATCCAATAGTCCTAAAAGACCATTATCTTTTAATATTTTTAAAGCCTTATTGTAGTCATCATGAACTTATTTTAAATGTTAACTAAAATTAATAATAAATTAGATTACTCTAATTCTTATCTTTCTGCCTTCAAGTCATCTAATTCTAATAAGGCATTATCTAATTATCTTTTCAATTTAGGTACATCACCTGCCTTTTTTGCATCATTTTAAACATTATTCAATTTCTTACCTAGATCATCTTTATCTTTTCTAAAATAATATTATAATTAAATCAATACTCTGCATCTTTTAATTTATCTCTCACTTTACCCAATTCATCAAGTAATTGATTCCTATTTTTATGTAAATCATTTAATTAATCCTTAGCTTTATCTCTATCTCCTTTTACATCACCTAAATTTAGATGTAAATTATCATTATCTAATTAAAGATCATTACATTTCTTTTCCAAATCTTTGTTTACTTTCTTTAAATCTCCTAAATCTTTTTAGAGATCATTATTTTCTTTGGCTAATTTTCCTAACTTATCCCTTAATTATGAATAATTTATTACTTAATAGCTCCATTCTATTTTTCTAAAGCAGCTAAATCTGCTAACATTTTATCTCTATCTCCCTTTAATCTATTTAATTTATTCTTAAGATCATTGTTTTCCTCTATCACCTTATCATTATCTTTATTCTTCTTTTTTAGATCTTCTATTTCTTTTTTTAAATTATCATTATCTTTAGCTGCATTATTAGCTTTATCTATATTATTTCTTAGATCTTTAACTTACTATTATGATAAATAATAAATATACATTTCCTAATTTATTATTGTCATCAAGTAAATCTTAATTCTTATGTCTAGCATCTCTTAATTAATCTTCTAACGGACCTATCATAGCTTTTAATTTCTCATTTTCTTCTGGTAAATGTTTGATTCTATCTAATTCAGTCTATAATCTAGCCACATCATTCCTTAATTTTCTATTTGCTTTTGCTTTTGCAGCAATATCATCTCGAAGTTTCTAATTTTCCTTTCCAATATCATCTTCTGGATCACCTTCTCCAGTTTCTCCTTCACAATCAGGACAAACACCATATTCATATTCTGGAAAATTACTATTTCCTTAAGGCTTAGCTTTCTATGCTTCCTACCTTGATAATAAATCACTCTTATGTTATTAGCAAGTCAAACAGAATGGACAATGTGTTTCAGGTTATTATTACATTCTAACTGTGTTTTCCATCAATTTTGGTTAGTATACTTGAGATTGCACATATTATTATTGATTCATTTGAGGAGGCATAAAAGGTGCAGGAATGGCATTACTTGGATAATTCAGAGGATTTTAAGATTACTATTAAATTGGTTGAGCAGTTAAGATATTATTGTTGCTTTGATATTGACTACGACTCTAAGGTTGGGTAATGATTTAATGTCCAGACATTTGTTGGTTATTGTTTAATTTTTAATTTTTTAAATACGTTTTATTTACATCAGATTGTTAATTTTAGATATTTATTGAAAAATCCTTCTTGAGTTTTCTTTATTCTTTAAGATTTCATAAACTTAAAATTAATGTAATATTTCAGATATTATTTTGAGATTAAACATTTATTTTTAATGATAATTATTTTTAATACATTAATATGTGAATATAATAACTATTATATAAGTAAGATCATATAAATTATAATAGTAAACATGTATATAGGATATACATGTAATAATTAATAGAAATAATTTTAATAATGAATATTTTTTATGTAAATTAAAATAATATTATTTAGATATAGAAATGAAATAAAGAGTTGAATTATTTTTCATTATAAAATATAAATTTAGATCAATCAATTTCCAGGTTGTTTTTCTCCTTATGTGGCAGATGACATTTCTATTTTTCCCTCTGATACATAAGAAAAGAAAACTAATTTATAAAATAAGTAGAGAGACAATTGCATTGTAACTACTATGCCAATAATGATGTACTTCTTTTGAATCTATAATTTATCTAATTCTCTAATATTATGGTATATATTTTTACTCTTTCAAATTGAAAATTAAAAACAATATTGAATTTCCAACTCCATATGCTATAATTAACCACAAAAACAATTCATTCTAAAAGTAACATAAAATTGTAATGGGTAACAATGTTGACATAGAATAACCATACAAACAAATGGTTTAGAAGAAACTCAAGTCAACTCCTAAGATCTTCATTACTATAGCTAAAATGACTGGAGTTCCAAATGCAATTATATATAGTAATGCTGTTGCTTAAGGAACATAACCAACCTCAAATGATTGATTTTCTTTTTCTGCATCTACTTATCTTAAATTTGCTATAGCTGTAATCATAAAAATTAAAGTAGCATTGATCCATATTGGTCCCCATCTATATTATAAATATATAATAATACAAATCTGGATTCTCTTTAGTTATATTAAGGAAATCTGGTCGAAAAGGAAGAAATGTAGCTTTGATTCTTTATATAACATCTGTCTCTGTAACATTAAAATATGGAGTATAATATCTATTATAGAATTGTAGTAATACTCAACTGTGAGAAATCCACAGTATCCGGTTTACTTTTTATCACCACTATCATCTAATTTATTGAATTATCCTGGTTATGCTTACTTTTCATCATCTGTTTATTTTTGAACTCCAATTTCCATTCTATTCTGATAATTTTTATTTTAAATAATATAAAATTTCTTATATTGATCTCCAATTAAATCATTTAAAATACTTGCAATCATCAATCATTTTATCAGTAAACTGATATATTATTTTATTTATCATTCATTTTTATTATTTTGCACTTTCATTATATAATATTAAAATTTATACATGTAAGAAGATTTTGTCTATAATCCTGAGATTATGAAATCATAGCTAAGTATGCTGCCTCCAATTGAATAATTCACTCTATAATAATTAGCTAATAAACGAAAGATAAATTTCAACATGATGCTCTCATTACCGGTTTAATATTAAATTTTTATTCGCAGTTTCTTTTGAAAGATAAGGCTTTAGAAGATAGAAAGGATACTATTGCCATATATAGAAAACGTAAATTTGAGCCATTAAAACCTTAAAAACATAAGGTGACTTTAATTAACAGTGGTCGCATCCATTGTCCTGAATTTTGGTCGGATAAATATTAGAGTACTGCTTTAAGAGATTCGCATATAAATAAAAACTTAGATAAATATAGACAGATCATAAAAAATAACATTTAAGATTATTTAATTAAATTTGATATACAAGCTAAAGAATAAATGGAAGAAGCAAAAAAGTATTAAATTTAATAGATTCAAGAATTAAGTATTAAGAAATATATAAAAAACAATGTTCCATCTCAGATGAAGAAATTGCTCCATCAAATAATGAATTAAATCTTAGTTAATGCACTTAAGATGAAATTATTAATTACTATAGAGATGTAAAGAAGTAGGATCCTATTTAAAAAACAAGTTTGAAAAATCTAGATAAAATAACTTGTAATAGTGTAAAATAAAGTTTTATTGAAAAATTTGATAAAGTTATTACTACTTGTGATCGAAATTCAATTGTATCATATAGAAATTCTGTAGATAGTATAAAGTATTATTAATAATTAAATATTAGTAATTATGGATATGCAAATCTTAAATAAAGAAATAAAAATGTCTTAGGTAGTAACACTAGCAGAAGTCATTATAATTGATACTAATAAATATTATATATATATATATATATATATATGATCAAACAAATTTTTATCATAATACTGTTTTTACTCTTTAAGATGAAGATATGTAACTAGATTTTTTTAGATTAACTTTCTTATGAGTAGAAAAATAAGGTTGTAGTCTATGTTAAATAAGAGGAGCTGTTTAAGGAACAGTATTAATTTGAGTTTCCTTAGTTTCTGAAAGATATTTGATAATAGAATCTCTTTTAATTTGTTCGAAAGGCTTATGTTTGTATTTGTTTAATTAAAGCAAAACATACTATTTTTATTTTGGGGTAAAAATAATATGTTTTCTCGTTTACTGTAATTAAATACTAGGTTCACTTGGAGAATCTGATATCAAATCTGAATCTTTTTATACCAATGGTCGTTAGTAGTAAGTACGATCCTTGGTAAAAGTCCTGAGAACTTTGATATCTTACATACTAGCAAATTGAGAATCCCTATTAGAGTTATGTTGATTTAATGGATTAAATTTACTAGTAGATGGTGTATCTATCTTCTTGAATGATTTCTCAAATTTAGTTTTCATTCTACCCTTTATTGCTCTTCTTCTTAGATCTTTGACTCTATACAGAAATTGATGCTATTATATAATAGTTCTAGGATATTTAATGTCTATATTCAACTTTAGAATAAACTGAATCTCTTACAATCTTTTAAGAAGTTAAGCCTTCATTGTCGCTTTTTCTTCTTTGTCTTGGAAAATCATCTAAAACTTTGATTAATTAGAAACTATGTATTGTATTGTTGGCTTTATATAAGCTTTTCAAGACAACACTAGGTTTGATTTGTTTCGGTAATTTATTGTAAAATTCAATTTTTTAGAATTTGACTTATTGGTTTTCTGAACTATCTTTAGCAATTAACCTTGGGTATTATTTACTTTTCTTATCTTGGCTATTGGTGATTAAAATCCTCATTAAATTAATTAAATGCAAACATCAATAATAAGTTTTTATGAATATACAATTAATATTTTCAAATTTTAATTACTCTTAATGAATTAACAGCGTCGACTTTCTCCTGCTCCATCAAGTCCTATTCAACGTAATGCAATAATATCATGTATTATATATCATATAAATTAGAACATTCTAATCGATTTCAATTCCTATAAGTAACTCCATCCACTCATCCTATTCAATATGTCTAAATGTAGAATTGTAAGAATCAAACTTATAAAATTAGATAATGAAGCTAGATAAATCTCTAGAGAAAGAGACAACAATCAAATCCCTTTTTAGTAATAGTAAGTATGCCCAAAAGGATTTTAGAGTCTAAGAATAATGAGTTAACCTGATGGTAATTCAAGTAAGTCACCAGTTGTTCCAGTTATGTAATCTTAACCCAACATTAGACCTAATACAAACTAAAATTCTTTATAAATGTATATAGATAATGCTTTGAAAACTTAAAGAGAAGAAATGCTAAAATTATTAGAATAACAAAATAAATAAATCGATTATATGAATTAATAATAATTATTAATAATATAATAATAATAACAACAATAAGAAAAGAAGAAAGAATCAATTAATATTGAATCATAATTAAATTAAGTTAAAGAATAATTACACATTTAAATAACCTAAGCTTGTAGAGAAATGATTCATAAATTATAAAAGCAATAATAAACTGACTTTAAGGCTTTACAAGTCTAAATAGAGAAATTAAAATCTCAACTTTATTAAATTAATTTATCAACTAGCAAATAGTCTGAAAAATTATAATAATCATTTAAAGGGAAAGAAAATGAAACAGAAGAATATTAATATAAAAAACATATACCTTAAAGAAATTCATTAGATAATTATGATTAATATATTAAGAAATATGAATAATTCAATAAATAAGTAAATGATTACTTGATTAATCGAAAAATACCTGATCATCTAAGTTCAATATTAAATACTAGTAAAGATTCAAATAGTGAAATACATGATATTGAATATATATAATCAGATCATCCTCTTACTGATATTACAAATATACAAAATACCAAATAAAATAAATAATATTAATCTTAACCATTATAATAAATTGCTTAACCATCAATCACTTAATAATTTATGACTTAAAAAACTACAATTTAATCAAATAATTAAATTAATGAAGATTCACCTATAAAAGCATTGAATGAATAAATGATGATTGATAGTTTAGATAATATTAATGTACATGATCCAAATAATTTATAAATTACTAAAGAAGAATTTGATCAATTAAAATGTACAATATTAACATAAATTATAGCTTAAAGAATGTCAACTATACATGAAAATGAAGATGAAGATGAAGAATTAATGTATTAAGTAGATGAAAATGGATTTATTCTTAGTTAAGATGGACATCCTTTAATTGATGAAACAGGAAAACGAATCTAATTAACAAAATAAGAACTTCAATTTTATAAAAGTAAACTTCATAGTTGATAATTACATATATATATATAATTTATATTACAAATTCATTTATGTTTATAATAATTGGTTAAAAAACTCTATCTCTTCAAAAAACATTCAAAATGATTCTCTTTATTTTTTTACCCAACATTCCTTTATGTTGTTATTGGAGATTTGACTCTTTAATCTAAAATAACTTTATTTATTCTCTCCATCATATTTTATATTGCTATTGGTTTCTTTTTGTTTTCTTATTCTTAATTGCTTTATTGAGTTTTTATTCTAATTGGAGAAACAAATGATTTTTCTTTTGGACTTTCTAACTTTTCCTTTTAAGACTTTAAGTAGAAATCTACATTTTAACGAAATTTTTAATAATTCATAAACTTTAAAAATAAGTATACACAAAATTTTACTATTTAATTAATTATAATAATATAGAGTGAAAAAAATACTTAAAATAATAATTGATTATCATTAATAAGAAAATAATTTATAATTAATTTATTTTCTAAACAAACAAAATTAAAACTATCATTTTTATTCATCTAAGTGATTATTACCATTATTATTATTATTATTATTATGATTATTATTATTATGATTATTATTACCATTAACTTAACAAATACCATTTGTATTTTATTTCATAAGTAAAATCTTTTTAAGTTTTTTATCAATCTCTATTTCAAGGTTTACAAAATGTTATAATTTTTCTATAGTTGTAAATTAATCATTTTCTATTTCTTAAATTGTGAAATATTTAGCTACACAATCATTCTTAAAGCGAGGCAACTTTATTTTATTAATCTTACATCATACTCAAATATTCTTACTTCATCTAAAGATATGGAATACTTCTATCTATTTTCTTCAATTCTTTATTTCCTTTCTTCTTTATTTGGATTATCTCCTGTATTAATAACACATCCATTTTTTCTCATTACTCCTTTTTTTTAATTATTGTCTATCCAAACCTTTTCTAAATCAATCTATAATCCTATATGATAACTATTAATTCAATACCCATAAAATCTCCCAATGATTATTATCCAAGCATTCTTTAAGTTTATATATAAATCTATCCAATAGATTTATCTGGTAAACATTCTGATTATATGATGCTTCTCCATTTTCCAATTCCAAATTTCTATAATGCAAGTTTAAGTATTTTGACTTCTTCCTAGGACCAACCTGGAGATAATGTGTAATTCCATAAACTCTTAGATTCATTGTGTGCTCCATGCTTCTTTCTTTTTTATTTCTCCATTATTGGCGCTTTAATTAATTAAATACAAATATATTAAGGAATGGTTTTTAATTAATTTTTATTATATTAATATCATGAGTACTGTAACAAATGAGTCAAAGAAAAAAGAAAGCATTGATAAAGCTCTAATTTAACAATAGAGAGAGCAACTCAAATAAACTGTTTTAGAAAGATTTATAAAGGATTTTGGAAAGAATAACAAAAATAAAATATAAGTAACTTACAATTTAGATAGTAGATTATCACCAATATTGTGAATGAATATTTCTCAAAAACTAGAGTTACTGATGTTACTTTAAAAAATTTAAAACAATAAGTTTAATAAGCAATTCAAAATATAGGATCCACAACTTAATCCCAAGCAGATTAATCAATCAAAGAATCATAAGGTATAAAAAAAGATGTATATGGTAGTCACACAATAACAATAGTTATAATAGATTCCATAATAAAAACCTGCAAGTAGTTAGTCAAAGAAATCAAATTAATAAATATAATCAGTTCAATAATAACGTCAAGATGTCTATTCTGAAACATCTTCTAAAGTATCAAATATTTATAAATAAGGCACCAAAATCAGTATATATGATGGAGGGAGATGAAGATGATGAATGGGCTACTTTAGTTAAATTTGATACTGAATTGTATAAAAAAGAAAAGGAACTTGAGCTCATTAGAAAATAAGAATTTAAGAAGAAGATTAAATCAGAGTTGGATAGATAAATAAATGAAAAATAAAATAAGAAATAAGAAGATGTTCAAGATGAAGATGCTTATGTGAAGTTGCATCATTATTAATTGAATGTTTATGATTAAAGAGAGAAGGATAAACATGATAATTTGAAGAATAAAATTTATAATGAAAAATTATAAAGAGACAAATAAGTAAGAGATGAATAGTAAAGAAAGTAAATATATATTTATATTTTCTTTATAGAAAGGTTGAATAAAAAAGGGAAAAAGAACTTGATAGTTTGTTGGTTAGAAAAATTAGAGAAGAATTAGAATTAGAATAAAGAGAGTAATTAAATAGAAGAAACAAAGAAAGAGAGCGTTTTTTAAGAATGATGAAAGAAAATGAGGAATATAGAAAAAAAGCTTTAGAAGATGCAAAGTAAGAGAAGGAAGCAGAAACTTAAATGCAATAATAATACATCAGTTTATAGAATCAATTAGAGGAATAAAGAGAATTAGAAAGAAAATAGAGGGAAGAAAAAATGAAAAAAGTTATGGGTATGTTTGCTGAAGGAGTTGTTAGAGATTAAAAAGAATTGATTAAATAAGAAGATGAAAAAATGTTAAGAAATATTATATAATAAAATGAAAGAGAAAAAATTGAAGAAGAAAAGAAAAAGTTAAAACAATTAGATTAAAGATAATAATTAAGATCATTTTTAAACACATAAATTGAAGAAAAAAAAAGAAGATAAGAAGAAGAAGAAGAACTAAATAAAAGACAAGCAGAAATTTGGAAATAAGATTTAAATAATTATAATGATCATGAAAAAAAAAAATTTGATGTATTAAAAATATATTATACATTAGTATATAAAAGAAGTAAATTTAAGACATGCAGATATCTTAAAAAGTTAAATCTAAGAAAAATAAAGTAAGATCAAATAAAAGGCTACTAAAATGAATACAGCTGAATTATTATAAAACAAGGATAAACTTAAAGTAATTGCATAAGAAATTCCTGATTTAGGAGAAAAGGTCAAAAAAGTAGAAATTTGACATAGAATATTATATAAATAATATATTATTATAAAATTTATGATTCAAAATCGAGAAGAAAAATTAGATTAAAAGGATTTAGAATCTATCAACAAAAATAAAAAAATAGCATCAATATTAATTCAAGATGTAGCATTTAATATAATGATAAATAAATAAAAGTCAGAATTAAGTGATAAAGAATATTTTAAATGGTTTGATTAAATGAAAAGATTGGATCAACAAAAATATGTTCTAATTAAAGATGATGAATAGTATCAAAAGTAACTTAATTAAGTTAATATAAAATAAACTTAAACACATGAATAATTAGGATTTTTTGGTTAAATGAAATAATAATTACAATTAGAAAAAATATTTGCTTAAATAAAAAAAAAAAAAGCTTAAATTGAATTAGAATTAATTATTAGATAAATATAAACTGAAATTGAGATTTAAAAAATTAAGAATTAAAAAGTAATTGAGAAAAATTAATAAATAATTGAAGAAATATAAGAGGAATAAGGTTATATTGTAAATGATGAAATAATGAAAAATTCAAATATAGATGAAGTTGAAATGGAAAAACGTTTTGAAAAATTAAAATATCAATCTAAAAAGGCGAGCAAAGTTAATTTATTTAAAACAGTTTTCAAATCTCTTAAGACATTTGAAAAATAAAATAAATGATCATCACACTTAAAATAAATAAATAGAATTTTATATTAATATTCTAAAAATAAAAATGATAATAATTAAGTATCTATTCATAAATAATGTTATTAGTAATAAAAAGAAATTTAATTAAAGATGATTGTAATTATATCCATCAATAATTATATCATGTAATTTTTATGATATTCTCGTTTCTTTTTCTTTGATGGTATTGAAAGAGAAAATTATTATTAAATTTTTTTTGGATCTCTTTGATAACAAATCTATATTTTAGAAAAATCTCAGTTTAAGTTCAGATCTAAATAAATGTTAAATTTTCTGATTTTATTTAATAATTTGATAATTTTAGTATTTCTAGAAGTTTAAATATGATCTTTTTAATGAGAAGGGAATTTTAGCAAAATTTTTTAGTGCATTTTTTGTTCAGATGAATAAAATTTGTATGTATTTAATGATCTGTATTTATACATAAAATATAAAAATTTTTGCATTAGATTTTAAAAATCTTTAAAAATGTAATAAGAAGCAGATTATGTAAATATTCATTTATATTTATTAAGAATTAAGATGAAAAATAAGTATACCAACTGAGGTAGTAAATTATTTCTTATAAGCAAGTTCAAAGGTAATATTGAAAGTAACCTTATAGAAATCACCACATAGAAAATGAAAAATTAATGTTTCCATACAACAAGGACTAGTGGGAGGCAGAAAGGGAAAAGATATTCTAGAATTCGATTCAATATTTTCATGACAAAATAGATAAAAATGAGGAACTCAAATCAATTTTTAGAGACAGATTTCCAAAACTTAAATTGGATTAAACTTGCGATGTATAGTCTTTAATATGATTGTTTAGGATATGTCTTTATTTAGTGAACGAATGTAAGGGTATTTAGAAAAGAGGAGATTGGATATAGAATAGGAGCTAAAGAAAACCCATCAGAATGATCCAAAATATTTGAGTTTGAAAATTGAATTACTGTTTATAAATTCAAAGGATTTTTATACTAAAGTTAAAGATTCTATATTGAATCCATTATTGTAGGAAGAAAGTTAGGCAGTATTGTAATCTAGAATGCTTGAAAGATTATTATTAGATAGAAACTATTTTAAAAGAGATAAACCTTTAAGGAGAGCAGAGAGTAAGTTGTCAGATAAATTTGAATTGAGTATGATAAAACATGAATAAGCAAGAAGAAAGAAAATAAAATAAAAAGAGTTTATGTCAGCAATATTTGCACATCAGATTGAATTTATGGAATTTCATAGAAAAAAATACAAACATGCTAGAAAACGAAGTGTTTAGTTTAAGGTTGTATTGGAATAAAGAGAATAATAAAGAGATAAATAAATGAGAATGGAACACATTAGAAGAGGAAATCTAGAAACTTATCTTTAAGTTTTAGAGAAATTAGATGAAGCTAAAAAAGAAAGAGTTGTTTCAATTTTGAGATAAACAGATTAATTTTTAAAAGATATTGGTGCAAGAGTGAAGATATAGAAAGGAGAAGAAATTACAGAAGAAGATGAAGTTGTAGATAATATTAATTCTAGAAATGGTTTAGGATATGAATTAAATTAAGCTAATAAAGTATATTATAATATAACTCATAAAATAAAAGAAGTGATAACACAATAGCCAGCATTACTAGAAGGAGGATAATTAAAATAATATTAATTATAAGGATTAGATTGGTTAGTAAGTTTGTATAATAATAATTTGAATGGTATTTTGGCTGATGAAATGGGTTTAGGTAAAACTATTCAAACAATCTCTCTATTATGTTATTTGATTGAAACAAAAAAGAATTTTGGACCATATTTTATTATTGTTCCTTTATCAACTTTAAGTAATTGGTCTAATGAATTTGAGAAGTGGGCTCCTTCTATTAAAAAAATAATCTATAAAGGATCTCCTTAAATAAGAAAAGATATATCAAAATAAATGAGAACAACTAAATGGAATATCTGTCTTACTACTTATGAATATGTTTTAAAAGACAAGTTAACTTTATCAAAATATGAATGGAAATATATAATTGTTGATGAAGGACATAGAATGAAGAATTCAAGGAGTAAATTCGCAATGATATTAGGATAGTAATATTAAAGTGAAAGAAGATTATTACTAACAGGAACTCCATTATAAAATAATATAGCTGAATTATGGGCTTTACTCAATTTTTTGTTACCAAAAGTATTTTCATCTTGTGAAGATTTTGAAAAATGGTTCCAAACACCTTTAAATATTATGGGAGCTAGTGAGAAAGATATTTAATTAGATGAAGAAGAATAATTATTGATTATTAATAGATTACATTAAGTTCTTAGACCTTTTTTATTAAGAAGAGTAAAAAAGGATGTTGAGAAAGAATTACCTAGAAAAACAGAATATGTTATTAAAATAAAATTATCAGCTTGGTAAAAGAAAATATATGATTAAATTAATTAAAGAGGAGTTATGACATTTGATTAATAATCAGGTAAGAGTGGATCTTAAGCATTATAGAATTTGATGATGTAATTAAGAAAGATTTGCAATCATCCTTATCTATTTATGTTAAATTTGGATATGAATAAAGTTACAGATGAAATTTGGAGATCAAGTGGAAAATTTGAATTATTAGATAGAATTATTCCTAAATTATTATACTTTAAACATAGATTATTAATATTTAGTTAAATGACATAATTAATGGATATTATGGAAGCATTTTTTGAATATAGAGGATGGAGATATTTAAGATTGGATGGATCAACTAAATCAGAAGATAGAGAATCCAGAATTTAATTATTTAATTAAGAAAATTCAATTTATAATATTTTCTTATTAAGTACTAGAGCTGGTGGATTGGGATTAAATTTATAATCTGCAGATACTGTTGTCTTATTTGATAGTGATTGGAATCCAATGATGGATTTATAAGCTTAAGATAGGGCTTATAGAATTGGATAAAAAAATGAGGTTAGAGTATTAAGATTAATTACTGCAACATAAATAGAAGGGAATATACTTAGTAAAGCTGAACACAAAATGGGATTGGATGCAGTTATCATTTAAGCTGGATTATATAATTAAAGATCAACTGATTAAGAAAGAAGGGAACGTTTGCAAGATTTCTTTAGACAAAAGAATAAAGTTGATTTATTTGAAGCTGAAGAAATACCAGATGATACTTAAATTAATGAATGGATAGCAAGAAGTGAAGAAGAATTTGAGATGTTTAATGAATTAGATAGATAAAGATATGAACAAGAAAAATTAATTTATAAAAACTTTAATGAAAACAAGGATGATCAATATTATAATTATAGATTAATTTAAGATGATGAAGTTCCTGAATGGATTACATCTAAATAAAATGAAGTATAGGAAGTTAAAGAATATGGTAGAGGTTAAAGAGAAAGAAAGTAAGTAGTATATTATCTTCCTGAGGCCTCACCTATTCAAGAAGAATAATAGGAAGATATGAATGAATTAGATTTAAAATTAGATGATTAAATTGAAATGGAGTAAAATTAAGTGTTTTAAGATGATCTTGATTTACCTAAAATATAGAAAAAATAAAAAAAGTTTAGATAAATAGAAAATGATGAAGGTAACAGTAATAATATTGATGAAATTGAGCCTAAACTAAAAAGTAAACGTAAACTTAATTGATAATTACAATTTATTCAAATTATTCCAAACAAAATATTAAAAAAAATAAATTTATCAACTTTTATTATTATTATTATTATTATTATTATTATTATTATTATTATTATTATTATTATTATTATTAGTAGTATTATTATTATTATTTTCTACTATATATCCATTATCCATCTTATCTAAATATTCTTCTTCTTCTTCAAAATCTTCATCATCGTATTTATCTTATTCTCTTTTTATCATTTCATCTGTTTCTGGTTGCTATTTCAATTTTAATGGAATATAACTTCTTATATAAGTTTATTCATTAATGAATATTATCTTTAGAGCCCTCTAATTATAAGTTCTACCATACATTGATATTACTATACGTTGTGCATACTCAATAGTTGGATACACAAGAAATAGAGAACCTGCCTCAGCTAAAAATTATAAATAACATAAATACCTCCTAAACCAGCTTAAAATGGTTTAACAAAAAAGTCATCTTCAATTTAATTGCATTATGAAAATCCTTCTAGTAAATCCTCTCTCATTTCATTCCATTCATTTCTATTTAAATTTATTGCCATAGCAACATTTAAGAAATTTCCAACCTTTATAATCCTGGATGGGATACCTGTCTAAGCCAGAATTTCATCTTCTTCCCTCTATCCTCTGGCATATCCAAGTGATTTTAATGCTAGATAAGCAGCAGCTTATGCTTAGGCCATATTATGAGCTTACTAGACTAATTATGATTGATTCACAGATTGACCTAAATTATAATATGATTTTATACCATATAAGCTATCACCAAGACGAAAGATCTTACAAGATTCTTCTAATAACTTAATATCCTCTAATTTTAACATCCTATTAGCTTCTTCAACAGATGATAATTCTATTGTGCATGTTCTATCTTTCTCATTCAAATGACAATATAATATTGGCTTAGCATTTCCAACATCATTTAGATAATTTCTATTCATAAATCTACTTAATTCAGCATAAAGATCTCGATTAGTTAAGCCTGTAGGGATATTACAAATTTAAATTCTTCTCATTCTACTAGTCAATGACATTACCTTATCCTTATCTTCTCTAACTTTGTCATGTAAATTTGTTTTAGGTACCCAAGTGAAACCATCCCAAAATCGATCTTATTTATCATAACCTAAGGCATCTATAATTGAATTTTAAATAAATAATTACTAGATTTAGAAACTGGATTGTTAGCTATAATTTATTTTTAATAATGCTTAACAGCTGAATTAGATCTAGATCTTTTTCTTCTCTCTTATTTTAATCTTGTAGTTCGTTACTAAAATCTATTATAATTTTTATACTTCTTTTGTTTCACTCTCTTCAACCTTTTTTTAGATCTCAATTTTCACTTCTTTTTCTTTTATTTACTTCTTATCTGATTTTTTCTCTAGCTTTTTTCTTTCTTTTGACTTTCTTTCTTTAGATTTCTTACTTTTTTATTTTTTTTTTTCGTTTTTTTATGATCTACTTCTTTTTCTTTTTTTGTCTTTCTTAACCTCACTATTGCTGCTATTATCCATGTATATTATTTAATTAATTATATATCTCAATAAGCCCCCTTTTATATTATTATCTTAATATATATTAAATTTTTAATTTATATCATTTTTTTGGTTTATATTCTTATGGGCCAATCATGGATTCAGGTTTAACCCATTATTTAAATTGTTCCTCATTCAATAATTTAAGTTCTAAGGCAGCTTCTAATAAAGTTTAATGATGTTTATGTGCATGTTTAGCAATTTTAGCAGCCTTCTCATATCCAATATATGGATTTAAAGCTGTCACAAGCATTAAAGATTAATTCATTAATTCTTCAATCTTCTTTGTATTTGCTTGAATTCCATCAACACAATTTTTAGTAAATGACACACTTGCATCACCCAAAAGTCTAACTGAATGTAGAACATTGTGAATGATAACTGGTTTAAAAACATTTAATTCAAAATGTCTAAATATTATATTGAATATTATTACCCATTTGAACCACCTACAGTAACAGCAACTTAATTTCCCATGACTTAAGCACACACCATTGTTAAAGCTTCACATTAAGTAGGATTAACTTTTCCAGGCATGATTGATGATCCTGGTTCATTCTCTGGTAATATCAATTCTCCTAAACCACTTCTAGGACCAGATCCTAAAAAACGGATATCATTAGCAATCTATTATATTATTTCTTAATACTTTCATTAAAGAAACAGCAACAGCATTTAATGATCCATGAAAATCTACTAAGGCATCATGAGAAGCCAAAGCTTCAAATTTATTAGGGGCAGTTTTGAATTCATATCCTGTCTCTTTACTCACTTAATCTGCTATAGCTTCAGCAAATCCAACATATGTGTTAATTCCAGTTCCAACAGCTGTTCCTCCTTAAGCTAAATATTGAACTTAATGAAGAGATGTTTTGACTCTTTCAATGCTATTTCTTACTTATTAAGCATATCCACTGAATTCTTACCCCAAAGTTAAAGGAGTGGCATCTTAAGTATGTGTTCTACCTATTTTTATGATCTTGTCAAATTCTTAAGCCTTTCTTTCAAGACTTGCCAAAAGTGTTTATAAACCTGGAATTAATACTTGATTAGTCTTTAGTTTACTAAAATAATTAATACTTGAATAACAGTAGCAATATGCATAGCAGTTGGGAATGTGTCATTAGAGGATTAACTCATATTGACATGATCATTTGGATGTACTAATTTACCACCAATTTATCCACCCAAGATTTAGATGGCTCTGTTTGCTATAACTTCATTAGCATTCATATTTGATTATGTGCCTGAACCTGTTTACCAAACAACTAATGGGAAATGATCATTCAATTTTCCAGCGATAACTTCATCTAGAGAATATTAGATATATTAATTTTACCTGCAGCTTTAGCTATGGCATCAGAAATTTCAGGTTTTAGATCATATCTTTTATTTACAATGGCTGCTGATTTTTTGAGTATTCCAAAAGCTTTGATGACTGGGAGAGGCATTTTATCGGTGTCTCTGCAAATATCGAAGTTTTAGATTGATCTTTAAGTTTAAGCTCCCCAAAGTCTATCACTTTTAACTTTGATTGGTCCAAATGTATCATACTCTTCTCGGAATGAACAAAATCTATAAAGACAAGGATTGAATAATAAAGATTTTCTTGAAAGCATTATTGCGTATTTGCTTATTTTATTTTAAAATTTAAAATAAATCAAATCCATTATTTTACATGGTTCAAGTAAAGAGATAAGACAGAAGAAAAGTTTATGAATATTTGTTAATGGAAGGTGTTATTGTTATCAAGAAGGTATATTTTTATGAGAATTCAAGGACATGGCACTTCCACTTCATTAGGAAACAGGAGTAAAAAACTTAGAAGTTTGGATGTTATTGAGAAGTTTAAGAGACAAAAAGCTTGTTGATTTGGTATTCTCATGGCAATACTACTATTATTATCTTAAGGCTGAAGGTGTAAAATATGTTAGAGACAAATTGGGTATATGAAAATCATCTATTGTAAAGGAATTGTTGAGGATGTTATCCCAGCCACTTTCAAGAAAGCTGATAAAAAGTTTGAAGATGATGTTCCTGAATAAAGAAGAGGCCCAAGAGGAAATAAGCCTTTCGGTAGAGGTGGTAATAGAGGACCAAGAAGAGCAGAAGAAGGAACAGAAACAGCATAACAATAACAATGAAATTGATATATAAAAAATGGTACAATATATATATATATTTATCTATGTTATAATTCAATCCCGTTTACTTTTAGTGTTTTTGTTAACTTTTTAAGGATTGTCAGAAGGTATTCCTTTAAACATATTTTATATTTTTTTATCCATTTCTGAATATATTTTTCTGATTGCCACCATGAATATTATAAATACTCCACCAACAATTCCAATTGTTAAAATAAGATTATAATAAAATCTAGCTCTTCTTTCAAACATTAGATCTATTGATTTTACAGAACTTGAAACCTTTCCAAATGTATTAATTAATGCAACTAATTCATTTCTTTTTAATTTTCCTGAAAATTCACTTGGAGATTCAGAAAATAGAATTTTTAATGCTGTTCCTAAACCATATGTTTACATCTTTCCAAATACTCTACATTTTTAACATTCTACACAATCCATAATTCTACTTATATTGTGAATATATCTTTAATAATCTTTCTTTTAATCCTAATTATAATTAATATAATTACAAATGTTATTTAATTGAAAAATTATTATTCATCAAAAGGTTTAGAACATTAATTGTTTCCTAATGATAAGATATTATTCAATAAATATTTGGATCTAGTATCTTCTTCAAATGACATTGAATTTATATCATGATTTTAGATTCCTGGTGTTGCTAATATGACTGCCCTTAAAAGAACTGAATATAAAAAAAATAAATTTCTGATTCTTTCAGGATGATTACCTACTCTTTCAAAATATAATGGATAATTTGGATAAGTTTTATTTGTTGATAAATCTACATAAAATTCACTTAATTAAGTAGAGATTGATGTATGTAAACCTTATACTAATTTATTTAAAGCTCTTTTCTCTTTACACATATCATTCAATGAACCTTAATAACAATTCTCTTTGTATATAGCATCCCAAATATGTTGTCCTTGATATCCTGTGAAAGCTTCAGGATTTAATTTTAAGTCTACATAAACTCCTTTATCATTTTCAACATCCTCAACATGCCATATCCATTCAGAAGGTGCTATTAATCATTAATTAAAATACATAGATATCTCTCTGTATCCCAGAATGCAAAATTATCCTTTGGTTAATTAATAAATGATGATGTTGGGGATAGCCAATTTGAAGGAATCTATAATATATTAATCTTTTATTTATACTTCAGATGTATTACAAGTGCATATTACACATTTTTTACTTGTACAAATGTATTCACCAATAGAAAATGGACATTCATTTTCAAGATTTACTCTGAATATCTTAAAATATTTTTTGTACTATAATTTCAATTCTTAATTTTACAGTCAATTCATCTAATAGAGGGAATATTTAGTCATTCACTGATTTGAGTGTTTTAAAGTCCTAACAACTATCCTCAACAATTCCTTCATATTTAAAATTTTTATCTAACTAATAATTAGATAGCTTTAATTACTATTATGTAGCGTAATCCTGTTATTATTATTCCTGCTGCATATGCATAAATTAACCAAGTGATACATTTTCCCATCATTTTTAATTCCCATTCTTTTCTTTGTCTTCTTTTAGATCTCTCCATTTTCAATTATGTAAGTTCGTCTACAAACTCTTCTCTCTCTGTTTACATATAAAAGTAATGATAATATTAAATTAAATTAATTTCAGTTTAAATCTAAAACTATATACACGTAAGACATTTAAATGAATCTAGAACAATTTATATACATTTATATGATTCCTTATAGTTTTAGCCAATTTTTAATTATTTATAATAATATTATTTAGTATCTCCAACAATTAAATTATTAGTTTATGTTGAGAAATCAGTAATAAATAATAGAAGTTAAATTTAAAAGACATCAAATTAAAGAATTGAAAGGTATCATATTAATATTTTGAATAAATTAGATATTCTTATTTAATTATTAAAATATAACATATATTTTAGATTTGTTTTTTATATACTTTATAATCTTATCTTTATATAAGAAATAAAATTATAGAATTATTAGAATTATGATAATTCTTTAATTTTAATTAAGAATAAATATATTAAATATAGAGATAGCAATATAACAATATTTTAAGTTTCTCATCTTTTCTCATCTTTTCACATTTATTAGATTTTTAATTTTTGTCAAGCTATCTTTAACACTTTGAAAATATTATTTCATTCTGTTTCTCATTTGTTCAGCTTCTTCTAAATTCATATTTTCATTTATATCAAATTATTAAACTGCAAACTTTTGATTAGGATTTCTTTTCATTTCTTATTCAACTTCTCTATTAATTTGAGCAATTTATTTTGCAAACATCATTTCTGATTCACAATGTTTTAAACCTTATTTTGGTGTTACAATTGAATTATTTCTTTCCCAAACTTCTGGTAATTTCTAAATAGACTTAGATTTTATTTAAATATTTGGTAAATGCTTAATTAAAGGTAAAGGATCATAAATTCCTATAGCTGGAATCTAGGAAGTCAAAGTTTTAGTACTTCTACTAATTAATTAATGTTTATGATTAAGTCCTTTTTACTGTTTTTTCATTAATTAACCTCTTTCTACTTAATTATGATTAAGAGTATATGATTTTATATCGATTGGTTTTTATAAATCTTCATTATTTAAGCTAGTTGGTATTAAGGTGACATATTTAGTATTTGGATCATATTTAGGAGATTCTAATTCAGTACGAAATTTATGTCTCATAATTGAATCAGTATCTATCTGATTTATTTACTCACTTGTTCTTTGTTTTGTATTTTTTCTAATTGATGAAAAGTTATAACTTTCATTGTTAACAAGTTTACCAACTTAATTTCTTTCACAAATAAATGGTTTAAACTTTCCTTCTGGTGAGTAACTATTATTTGGTTTATCACCAAAAGGATAAAAATTTGATCCATTTTACAAGAAATTCATCAATTATGTTTTCTACATATTAATATTTTTTAATAATTATAAATATGCAACTATTATTTAATATTAGTCGGTATTTAACAATTATAAATATTGAGTCCATATATAATTATAAATATATATAATAATATTTATTCGTGTTTGGAATATTATAATAAGCAGAAAACTTTTTATTTTTTTTATTGATATGGTTGGTTATATATATATATAATTTAATTAAAAAATGATCAATTATTAATATAAAATAAATACTGTTTTTTGTAATTTAATTTGAAATAATGAAATACAAAACAATTAAAAATAATAAAATCATTAAAATTACTAATCATTATTATTATGATTTAGATTTTAATTTTGATTATTACGAGGATTGCATTCATATTATTCTATGATGGTATGTAAAAGTTAAACTATTTCTTTTTGAGTTGGCTATTAGTAATTTGTTAATTATATCAATTTTTACCATAAAGAAGATCGATCTGAGTATTCTCTTCGTTCTTCTATTTCTTTTAATTATAAGAAATGTTATTGCTATTACATTAAACTTTAATAAAACTATAAATCTAATTATGCATTTTAATTACAATATTACATTTCTAAAATATAAAAATAATTTATACGGTCTCTGAAATATTATTATTGAGGTTATGGATAACATAAATATTGTTATTATTAATTTTATATTTGTTATTAAGCTTACAAATATTATTATTATAGATAATAATAGTCTAAATACGTATTAGGTTAATAATGTGGTATTATTGGAATATCTTCTTGAACCTTAGCTTTTTTAATGATTTCCTTCTTCTATTTATTTCTAGGAGGTCTTCCTCTTTTAGAACTAGGAATTTTATATTCAAGCATAGGAATATCTTAAATCTATTATTTTTGGAATCGAATTCCTATTCTTTCTTGATCAAAATAAGCAACAAAATTCTCTTTATTCATAGGGATTTTAGTATTTGAATCGCAAAATAAAATGCTAGATTATTTTTAATCTGAGAATTCATGATTAATCACATTCTAAAATCCTTAGATTAAAGTTCTTATCAAATTTACACATCTATATGTATTAAAATTATTTATATGCTCTTAGGATTGGATATGCTAAATTAAGATAAAAAGTCAACATACATCTAAATATTCTTCATAATTTTTTTTACATACTCCACAATACCTATGTTTTTTACCAGGTTTTGTTACTAACTTAAATATAATATAATAATTAAATACCATTTTAATCTTCTTAATTCTCGATTCTTCAATTTTTTATTGATGTTCTTATTAATATCTCTCTAGATTGAATTAATATTAAGTTCTATCATATTCTAAGATGAATGTAGGAAGACCAGGTTATCTATCGCAATTTAGAATAGGAATAATGTTTTCAAACTATCCAGTGAATCTTTTGTAATTTATTATATGTACTCATTATAAACAGGACAATAATCAAGAGTAATTTATTACTTAATCCAACATTCACTAGATTTTGGTATCAAAATAAACTAATGTTCATAACATATTTATTAGCATCTCTTTTTTGGTTTTAAGGAATGAATCATTTAATTTTCAATAAATTTAATATATAAATATTCTCAACTCTCTGATAGTAATTTTAATTACCTTAATTTTTTTAAATCTCCATAAAAATTAGAGTAAATTTTATTTCTTTCATGTTGATTTAAATTATTAATTTTTAGAGCATCAGATCCTCTTAAAATAAATTCCTCTATTTTTTTTTATATTTTACTTTCTCTTCTTGTTTTAATATCTTCCAATAATAATTTAATTTTATCATCATCTTTAATATCATCTCTACAATAAGAGAATAAAATTGATGAAATTTCAAAATAATATTATTCCATTTTTGCTAATTCTAATTCATTAATAGTTTCTTCATCAAGTTTTTATTACAATTTTTCAATACTTAACCATTCAGGAGGTATTACTCTACATTTATTCTTTTTCTTTAATTCAATTGCTACCCATAATGGAACTTCTACAATTTAATTAATTTTGAATGGTCCAAAATATCCCTTAATTAATCATTTTCGATATTACAGAAATAAATTATAGCTTTTCTAAATCAAAATTTGGTTAAATATTAATGAAAGTTGAATGTTAAATTATGAAATCACTCATCTCTGCATTGATATATCCTTATTACATTATTAAATTAATTTTATAAAAAACATTAATTATTATAATTACAATCAATCCCTTATTCAATCACCTTTAGGTAAATCAGTACCTTCTTCTTAAGATTACTTTTAGAAAGACATCTAAGAATCTTAATGTTTTTCTTATTATTATTATTTCTTTTTAGCTAATTTAGATTACATATTTGAATTTTGTAGTATTAATTTCAATTCTTCAAAATCTTCATCATCTCCATCACTATCTCCTTATCTACCAACTCTATGTGTTTTTATTGTATTATCTTATCTTGAAAATTTAGTTTAATCTATTCTTGTATCAAAAGCAATCTATGATTTTGATCCTCTACTTGACATTTATGGTCTTTATAGAGCTCTATCAGTATGATTACCCATATTTAATTTTTATTTCAACATAAATTCTTCAATTTATTTATGAACTGGTTTATTTATATCAAACCATTTAGGTTATTTAATAACATTATCTCTATCAAAATGTTTTCTATATTTATATAAATCTGATATAGAATTTCTTATTTAAAATAATTATAAATATAATTCGTAGAATTATAAACAAATATGAGTAGCCAAATGTCTATAATAATCCAATAATTATAAAATCTAATATTCAAATATAATAATACCTCTTTACTTAAAAAATTGTAAAATACAATTATGTCTGACCAGTATACTAACACTATCTCTTTTAGCAACATATCTTCAGGTACCATTTATAATGCAGATTTCAATGTCTCCATCTATCCCAAACCACAATTTACCTGAATCTTTATATAATTAATGTACTAAATTGCTTATTTTAAATAACCACAGTAACTTTGTCTATATATCAATAAACTTTTATCCTTCTTAAAATAATGGATATTACTAAACTTTACAAGCATGAAACACTTAAATATTAACAGCAAGTTTTTGTAAATATTAAAAATAACTTAATTATATATTAGCAGATAGCCATTCTTCTTTTTATTAATTTGTTTTTACAAGACTTGGTGATTTTCGATTCATTAAAATTAAAAACTTCTAATTCAAAAAGTGATCTGCAAAATCAATACCTAATTAAAATTCGTGCAACATTAAATGACAAGTCAAAAGAACTTTATTCCTAATTATATATGAGTTTGCAAATTCCCTATAAAGTTTTATGTATTTTCATACTATTCACATGTTAATTGGAAATACTGTTCAATGTAATAAGAAGGTGCTTTTGTTATAAACTCTGAATGATTATTCTCAAAACAAGAAATTAGGAATAATAAATCATCTAATAAAATTTCATCAGATTAACTAAGTAATGATGAATTTGCTATTCTCTTTTAGAATGGTGGTCTATTTTTGAAATACCCCATAAATTTATTGATCATAATATTATATTTAATAATTCTAATTATTTTTGTATAACAAACTTTATAATTAAAAATATTATTTTATTTCTAATTATTCCAATTAGATTTATATATAACTAACATTTAATTTCAAAAATCTCTATTATCTTATTAAATTAAATATTCATTCAAAATATTAATTCATTTTTTATTTCATTAGTAAGAATTTATCATTTCGTAAAAAAATAATGAAAAATAAATAATATTATTCTCTTAAATTAATTTATTATATAAATCATTATCATCAAAATTATTATTACTAGAAATTAATTGTTAAAAAAAGATTTTTAATTTAAAATTAAAGTTATGTTATGAATATTTTTTTTATTTATTTCAATAATATAAATGACATTTCTATTATTATTTTACTTTATCTTTAGCCAAAATAGTTATAGCTTATTCCTTTGAAATTGATATTAAATAACGATTAAAATTGAATAAAAAATGATTACTAATCATATTATTGACAAAATAATATTTAGTAAACAGAGTGAATCGAAAATTAAGTATTAAAAATTCATATCCTAAATTTATAATATATTGTTATTGATAAAAATATTAATATGATTCTTCAAAGATTAGGGTATAATAAAAACTAATTTAAAATATTAATTAAAATATTATTGAAGAACCAATTGTTCATATCAATTTGATATTTAAATATTATGTATTGGATCAGAAGTGTTTTATGTTGAAATTAAATGAATGTAAATTAAAAATAATAATCTACTTAAGTATAATTTACTGAATTTGATTATTCTTTTAGATATAATCAAAGAGTATATCAAGAGATATATTATTAAGATGTTGATTAAATATGAATTTTAGTTATTATGATTATAATCTATCTATGAAATATTTAATAATAACATCCATTACAGTAGAATCTAATATAAAAAATACTTCAAAATTTTACTTTTTTATTAATAATAAATAACATAATTGTTCAATATATTTCATATTAGTTATATATTGTAAGTAGTTAAAAATATAAATTATTATATATATATCAAATATTGAAATATTTTAAGCGATATTTGAAAAACAAAGTGTTAAATTGTTTTTAATGAGTTTAATCTAGAATGATTACTGAAGATTATTATTAAATTGAAATTTATCTATTATTTATAATAATATTATGAGCTTCCATAAACTAATGTTAGAGAGACCTCATTACACAACTAAAAAAATATTATAACCTCTTTTTGGTTAACCTAAAAAAGATGACTTAATTTAATATCCAATTACTCATAGAACAATAACATTTTAAAAGCCTTACAATGTTGTTGAAATAGAGAGAAAGACTTTGCATTAAAAAAATGATTCTAATCAGTCTTAATCAATTAATCTAAAAAAATAAAGAGTTTAAGAAGCTTATAATACATTATCAGATTTTAATGATAAAAAATAAATAATTGCATCTTTAAAAACTTTGAATTCTGCTGATGAGAGGTTATACTTTTATTAAATAAAATTAGAATACAATTAATTGATAAAATTTTAGAAAGAAAGGATGAAATGATGATAGCTTAATTAAAATTGAAAGCAGCAAAATTAGAACCTATATTCAATGTGATTCGTAGAAAATTAAAATAGTAACGATTAGTAAGTGCTACTCCAAAATAATCAAAGAAAGGAACTATGATAATACGTCAAAAGACTTCAGATGAATTAGCATAATAATCATTAGAATGTAGTAAAGAAATAAAAGAAGAAAAATAAATAAAGACTTTAGAAACAGAAACTATACCTGAAAATAAAATTATGGAAAAAATTTAATCTAAATTTACTGCTGGAGTCGCTTTTTCATGGTTAGCTAATCGTCATGAAAATAAATAAAGTATATATTAAATTATTATCAAAGTTTAAAATGAAAATGAAATAAGTGAAAGATAATTTTTAAGAAGATCTACAGCTTTATAATTTGGAAAAAATACTCTAAGCAGATTAAAATAATAGGTTTCAAAAAAAGTAAGTGAAAACTCAGATTAATTAATAAGATAAGGATTTTTGAAATTAGAACCAAAAAGAGAAAAAAACTGTTATAAAAATATATAATCTAAAGTTGATTCAGGTATAATCAAACCTTAAATTAATCCTATTTAAAAGGTTAACACTATTAAAAGATAAAATACTTTAGGATTTGTAACATCTGAAAGAAATGAAATATCAACATTTAGATAAGCATAAGCTAATAATCAATAAACTCTATAATGATCAATATGATTTATATAAATATCTATAAATTCAACTATATTATTTTTGATATTCTTGATCCTGTCTTATTATTATTATCTCTTTTAGCTAAATTATATCAATTATCTTTATTCTCATCAATTTAAATAAGAAATTCTAATTAAGATCATAGTATTTCCAATATAATAAATATAATTTAAATTTTATTTGTTTATATATAAATCTATTAAAGAAAAGACATTTAATGTAAAATTGAAATACAATAATATATTTAAGTTGGCAAGAACTAAATGTTTTCATAGAATAAATTATAAATATTTATATTAGATTGTTTTATATATTATATGAGAATTACATTAATATTTATATATAAAGTTATTTATTTTATAGTTGATTATAAATAAGTATATTGTATTCCTTTAAGTTTATATTATTTTAATTTTGTTTATAAAAAGAATAAATAAATATAACCATAGGTATAGCTTAAAGTGATATTGATTTATTTAATATTATAAATATAAAAACTATTAGCTAATTTAATTATGGATAAAAAGAATGAAGAATTCAATAGTATTCTTAGTAAGTTAATTTTGGAATTCAGTTAATTTACTTAAGAGATATTTGAGTAGGAATAGAATAATTAATAAGCTTGGATTGAATCCCAATTCAAAATGACTTAGTCATTAAATATAGTCTTTGAATGTTGTATATCAAGACAGAAGGTGAAAATACCTGTAAATATATAGTTTAAAGTATTAGGTTTCATTTACTTAATGTATCAAAAATAAAAAACATTTTTATGATTATTTTGATTTAGAATAGTTGATAGTTTATCTTGGTATATTAAACAATAAGAAAAAGTAGTTTTAATGTCCTTCTTGCTAAGATTAAATTAAATTACCATAAAAAACTAATATTTTAGATATTTTAAAAGAAATTCTTCGACCTCATATTTTTATATATAATTTAAGAAATTAGGTAGGTATTTATCCTAAAGATATTATTTACTATCACAAATAAAAATTAATAATACCATTTTATAAAGGGAAATATTAAACTTATTTTAATTAACATTATCATTAAGATAATTTTGGGATTGAACCAATACTTCTTTAACAACCAAGAGAAGAAAATTAATTTTTTTCAATAGCAAATAAACTTAATGATTATACTGGTTGTGATTTTGTGAATGTTTGTCTAATATCATAGATAAGAGTAAATATACCTGTAAGAGGTACAGAATGTGTTCATTATGAATCATATGATTTAATAGCTTTACATAAACATTTATTTGAATCAGAATCTAAAATGATGAATTGTACAATGACAGGTTGTAAATCATTATTTGATTTGAGAATTCCAGAATCATTTTAAATAGATTATTAATTATTGTAAGCAGGAAGAGAAGGATTAAGTTTTTCAATAAATTTTACTTATTTGCCAAATATAAAAAAGTTAAGTGAGATGTTATATTATAAATAAAGAGATGAATTCATAATATCATATAAAGAAGTGAAATCTTTAGATGTTAATTTAGAATATTTAAATAAAATGTATGAAATAGCTGAATCTATATTTGTTAATAATGAAAATAATAAAAAGTAAACTGAATTATTTTTAAAATTATCAAATATATCAATTCCAAATAATGATGATTTATTAGTAATATGTCCAATAACTAAATATGGTATAGAATTACCAGCTAGATGTAGAAATTGTAAAGGTTTAAAAGTGACAGATTTACGTTATTTAGTTTGTATATTGAATTAAGTTAAAAATGAATAAGATATTGATGGAGTAAAAAAAGTACAAAAAGAATGTCCACTTTGTAATTCACCATTCTCTGCTTAAGTTAAACCTCCACTTAAATTTATTGATTAGATTTATATTGATGTTAAATTGATGAAATTTTTCTTATAAGCTCCATTTTATTAAAGAACTGTATAAGGATATAAATAGTTTTTATTCTAATAATAACAAAATGATAAATAAATATCAGGATAAATACAAATATTCAAAAATTTAGAATAAAAAAATTGGGAATATGCAAAAAATATATTTATGTATAAATTCAGTTTACATGTAATTTTATACATAATAATCTTAGTGTATATTAACAGGAAAAAGAATATAAATACCACTAAGATGCATTAAATGTAAAAATCATTATGATTGTTTTGATAAAGAATCACTTGAAGAATTCTAATTAAAGAAAGGAAATTTGGAATCTATTTATTGTCCTAAATGTAATGAAAAAATAGAATCCTTTACAAATTTCTATATTGATTAATAATTATATGAAATCCTTTAAAATTTCTCAAAAGACACTCAAACTCATGATTATGCACTAATACAAATAGGGTCTAAAAAATTAACACTTGTCTGATTTTATATATTCAAAGATTATCTATGCATATAATTTTATAATGAATATAATTAATTTTGAATATCATTTTTATTAAATATTATGTAATTGAAATACTTCATATAACTCATTATCCATTCATTTCAATCTAAAACACATAATTTTATTAAATCGATTATGATATTTGTAATATATTTATATCTTTTATATGTCTTCAAATATTTTTAAATAATAAATTGAGATATAAATTTAGATTTATTGAAATCTATAAAATACATTTTGCAATTAATTCTATAATTAGAAACTAATTAATTTTTGTAGCAATTTGAATATTAAGGAGAAATTTTTTAAATATAAAATATATTAATATATATTTCAGTATGTATAATAATGAAAAGACAGACATCAAAATAGAAAGAAGGTACCTGATCATATCAATAAAGTTAAATGACAACCGCATAACCAAAGAAAGTTTTAGTGAAGAAGCCATCTACTAAAATAGATAAATAGGAAATAACATTAGAATAATCAGCTAGACATGAAGAAATTTTAGATGATCGTCTTAAATTAAAGTAATAATAATATGAAGAAGCTAAAGCTAGAATACTCACAAATTAAACACTTTTAAAAAATAAAAAAAAATAAAATTAAGAATTCCCCCAATTGCCTAATTGAAATAATATAATTTAAAACACATAAATTAATATCAATATCCTCAAAATAATAATTATTTATTAACAAATCATCATATTTATTTTATTTTATCTAATGATTATAATATTTTGTTTGAAATAAACTTGTTTGCATTCATCATAATCATCAATCAAGTACTTTATTATTTGATACTTGAAATTTATTTATAAATCTTTTAATATTATAATTTTTTGGTTATATTCCCTTTGACTAGAATCGATTGGATCCCTTAAAGAATTTTGATCCTTTCTTAATATATATATTGCTTGACATAAAAATAGAAACCACCTAAAAAGTTAAATCATTATAATTATAAATTATTAATACCTTTAATATTTAAGAATTTAAAAGGATATACCTAAAATGATATAAATTTATTTGAATATATGATGATATAAACTCTTTTTTACATGAAATCAAAATTATAACTTTTTATTAAATTACTTAATTTACAAATATCTCTTTTATGTATATCATTTAATGATTGATCATATTGTTTAAATAATTTTTAATATTTTATCATTTAATAATAATATATTCATACATAAAGTTCTCTTCCTCATTATACTTTTTAAGAATACTTTTAATAACAATTAGCATAAATAATATATATATAACCAATCTAAAAAATAGTAAAATTGATTATCATTATTATTTACTAATAAGATCAATTAATTATATATATATTCTTATTTCAATTGGATAATTTTGCTTAGAAAAAATTAAAGAATCTAAAATGACTATATTCGTTAATTATTAATAATTATTAAATTTTCAAATATGTCACATAATGCTATATTGAAATGGATTGGATATTTGGTAAATGTTCCAGAAGGGACTACTTTAAAAGATTTAAGTGATGGTAGAATTTTAACTAATTTGCTTAATAAATTGAATCCTGAAGTTTACCCTTAAAAAGTGTAATCTTCTCCTTAAAAAAATTTTTAAATGGATATGTTATGTGTAACAAACTTGGTTTAAAATTTAAAATAATCAATATCCAATTTACCTGAGATTAATAGTTTATTAATTGCAAAACATTAGGATACTGCTGAAATCATTAAATTGATTTCAATCATAATTAAAGTACATATGTATTCATATGATAGATTATGATTGAATCTCAATTAGCATAAGAAGCTATATTAAAATTAGATGAAGAATAAGTGCAAAATATTTTATAATTTATTAATTAATATTAAGAAGAAGATATTGGAAATCATCAACCATCTGATAGAAAGTTACTTGATAAAATAGATGAATTAGAAGATGAAAATTAATAATTAAAGTAATTACTAGAATAATAGGATAAGAATTAGGCATAGCATTTTAATAAAATTAAATAATAGGAACAATTATTAATTTAAAAAGAAAATGAAATTTCAGAGTTAAAATTATGTAATATTTGATTTATTCAATATATGTAGAATTGTAAAAAAACATTCATATAGAAGAGAATTTATCAGGAACTTTAATAGAATAACTAAAATTTCAATTAACAACAATTAATAAAGACAAAAAAGAATTATTAGAATAAAACGAAATGTATTTATAGATTATATATTATTTAGTTTATAACATAAATTGTAAAATTATTAAAATTTAGAAAATATCAATTAACAATTACAATAAGAATTAGCATAAAGATGCAAATAAGATAAAATTATAGAAGAATTAAAGACAAATATTGAAATATTTAAATAACAAATGGATTTAAAAGATTCTAAGATTTGTAAATTGTAAGATTAAATAAAATAAACTGCTTAAAATTAATAAAAAGAATGTAGCAAATTAGTAGAGTTAGAAATGTAGAATGAATAATTGAAATAAGAAATAGAAGATACTTAAAGGAGTAAAAATAAGGAAATTCATTAATTAAATCAAAAATTAAATGAATTAAAAATATAAGTAGATACTATTTAAACAGAGAGATAAGAAACTTAAAGATCTTCAGTTCATTATCAATAAAGTCCTAGATGTTTAGATTCTGAATTTAAAACTTTGTTAAATGATAACATAGGTGGATACTATTCAGAATAAACAATTTAAGAGTTTTAATAATAAATACAACAAAAAGAATAATAGTTATAATAAAAGGAAATCTTATATGATTAAAAAATTAAAACACTTGAAGCTAAAATAAATAAAGAAAAAGAAACAAATATATAACATATATAAATTGTATATAATTTATATTTATTAAATTAGACATCTTAATTATAAGAAGAAAATAAGAAATTAAAAATAGAACTTGAAAAATTAATTGATACTAATTATTAAGTAAGTAGAATACATGCAGAAAAATAATAAAATATGCTTCTTATTTCAGTAATTGAATGTTTGAATGAAAAAGTTAATTAATTACATACATAATAGAAAGAACATCTTAAAAGTGATAAGAAAATATAACCATAAATTCTAACAAGGAATTCTATATCTTTATGGAGTGCTAAATAATGATTATTAGATAATATATTTAATATTATTATACTGAATATCACTTCTTCTTTCCTTTCTTACCACCTGCTGCTCCTCCAGCTGCTGCTCCTCCTGCTGGAGCTGCTGCTGCTGCCGCTGCTGCTTTGGCTGCTTATTATTTTTTTATTGCTTCTAAATTTGCTTTAATCTATACATATTAAAAACTAATCTTACTGTTGCTTCGTCCATTCTGAATGTTTAGTGACATGTACCACAATAGTGTCTATCAAAATGTTTAGCCATATAAACTCCTTAAGGACATTATGGACATTATTTATGTGATCTTTAAACTAAGCCTTTACCATCTACAGTATAAAGCTTAAGAGTTGCCAATTTCACCTTTCGGTGTCTATGCTTCTTCTTCTTGGGTTTAGCAAAATTCTTCTTCTTCTTCTTTTTCTTTTTACCTCCTTCTGCATCTACATTCACATAATATATGCTTTCGCTGCCTAAAAAGACTATTTGATTTCTTTACCTAATAAAGCAGATGCTGCAACAGCTTCCCCATTACTCACCAAAGAGATTTCACATTATATTTCAGATTGAATCAACATCATCAACTAATTAGCTGTGCAATTATCAGCTAAATCATATAGTCTAACCTCACCATTGAGGTGACCAACTTTAATTATCATTTTAAATATTAAAGATTTTTATTTAAAATAAATTACACTAACAATAATATTAATATTAATCATTAAGACTTTAGTGAGTAGCATAATAATACATTTATTTGTTGAATTAATATCATTTATAATGATTACAAAATCTTCAAGGCATTTAACCATAACAATTTAATTAATATTAATAAAATCTAAAATAATTTAATTATATGTTAATCCATATTAAATTGCATATTTTGAATTATAGTTCTAAATAATTTATATTTCTTTCTTTATTTTACTAGAGATTAACAATTCTTAATTATACATTTTCGAATTCAGTTATTTAAATAACTCTGATAATGGGTAATCTATCATATAGAGAATGAAAATTTTAACTTTTATAAATAATTTAAAAAGATCTTATAAAGTGGTATCACTTTTATAGAATAAGTCTTTTCATAATATTAATTTAAATATTTTTGTGTATTTTAAATCTGTTCATTTCATTTGATAAACAAAGAAAAAGAAAAAAAAGATTGGTATATTCAAAATGTAAAATAGAATTCTTTTCATGATGGTTTCTTATTTCATTAATTTTATCAAAAAAGATTTAATCATTCTGAATTTATTTATTGATTTTTTATCTAAATATATACCAATTAATGTTTATAATACTAATTTAATAATTATTATGATAATAAGATTAAATATTCTAAAAATTATAAATTTATGATATAGATTATTATGAATGGTAAATCTTGGCAAAAATTGAATTTATAAAGTTAGCTTTATCATAAAATAAAATTCATTTTTTTAATATTATAAAATTATTTAGTTTTTAATATAGTTAAATTAATTAATCACATAACATCTATTTATAATTTTAAGAAAATATTTTACCTCATAAAGCTAATTCGAATATAAAAACTAATTTATAACAGATAAAACATGAATTATAAATTTAAAAAAATTAATTTGAAATTAATATTTGCAAGAATAAAATGTAAATAGAAGCAGAATTTAAATTAAGTTATTTTTTTGAGATATTGTTATGAATAAGATGTTCAAATAGTTTAATTTAATAAGTATTTATTAATGGATAAAAGTATGATTATTACCTCATTCACTTATAAAATTGTTGAGTAATTTTGACTTGAACAATATCAATTAAGATAGGATAATAGCAGATTTTAATAAATTTTTATTTATTTAATTTATAATAAATAGGAAATTTCATTAGTAACG